TAAACACTTTTTAATATGGCACAATATGTATTCATCCAAATACATACAAATCATCTGAAACCAACTTCATTTGCACACAGTTTCAGTTTAAGTCAATGGCATAGCCACAGACAAAACTTATTGCACATAACCTCTTAACTCCTCCTTTCTAATCTGCTATAACTGGTGAATGTCTCCACCCACTCATGGTGGCAAATGAGCTCCGTGCGTTCACAACAATGATATAAGAGTGTTTATTTCTACTGTTTATTGATACTGTCAGTAAACTGTGATACAGCAGGGTTACTGAGAGCCTGACATATAGCTTGTGTCTCTTTCAGTCCTCTGCCTGCTAGTGATTGACTCCATAAAGAAGCTGAGTATAGAAGGTTCATAAAAACAAGCTGCATTTTAAAGGCCTGCAATCTGTCTGTGTGTAATCCAGGGTATCCACAGCCCAGTCTATCAGCTGTGAGGAGAGTGCAGTGGGGTGAATGATCAACTGTTAACCACTACTGCTACTCCACTGATTACACTGCCAGGCCCTCCATCTGTCTCAACCCCTCCCTGACTCTGCCTCCACCCTCCCAGGATGCACAAATAATTCTTTCTCTGGGTATTTGTCTGGATTCCTCTCCTGGTCTGCCCACCCATGTGCTATCTTTCTTTCCCTGACCTACAAATCCTTTCACACATGCTGTCTCTAGAAAAGAAATACTCATGATTGCTAACCCTCCCACTTACTCACTCAAAGGCATTTGCCAAGGGAGTGAAAAAGCTGTGAGTTTTGGGTGAGTAGACAGTAAGTTCTATTATAGTTTTGAAGATTGGAGATTTCAGTTGGCCTCTCTTTACAGTCATTAACTCACTCCTCCAGCCCTCATCACACACAGGTACTTCACTCACAGAAATTGACCTGCACTCAATGATTTGTCTCCTGTCACAGTAGTTTTCTTGCTCTGGGAGGAAGGGGGTGGTTGTTGGTCGACAGGGTGACATGGTCCTGTATCAGGCTGCTCCAAGTAATTGGTTCCTTTCTATTCAGGCGCCTTATGGGAGGACATGTAGAAGACAAGTTTAAGGAGCTGGTTTAAAGGCAGAGAGAGTCAGGTGTGGTTTTTTAGGCAGCTTAGGGGGGTATACAGTTCAAAGTAGGAGTCTTGAAGTAGAGTTCCATCGTGGTATGTCTGACAGGCTGGTCTGTCAGTTTGGACCTACTGCATTATAGTGGGGCTCTTTGACAAGGTGACAAGTGGCACAAACTGAGTTACTTACTTTGATCTTAGAGTGTTGGGTCCGTCTAACTAGTTATTGATATCATGTTTGATTACACTTTAACTGGCAGTTATATCTTTGCTGTTTTAAGAGGCTTTCAGGATACGTGGTACATGTTAGGATGATTGGTGATCAATAGACCTGGGTATCAAGAACAGGTTCCATCTTGCCTCTGGCTCCACATTTCTGAGATTCAGGAATTATGTAAGGGACTTGAATTTTGGTCCCTCGTTTTGGTTCCTGACAACATACAGAAATTCAGGATTCAGGATTAAACCTTGGTAGGAATTCAGCAGTCCACATTAAAGTTAACATAACTTCCAGGACCTGCTTTGTCACCATAAAATTAAATCTCTTGTAGTCTGCTCACAAAATTGTCAGAGTAGGATCAGGTGGACCACAACAAGTGGTTGGAAGTTTGGCTAGACTTCACTAAAAAGACAATATTGATGAAAGAGAAGAGGATTATTATACATCATTACCAGGTCCACAGAAAACCAGCCAAAATGGCAAAGTGCGCCGAGGCTTTACTGGATTGCTATTAGTAAAAGACTTGCTGCAAAGTAAAGATCATAAGTAGCCATAGCTGCTTATTGATATGGCTTTCATTTCACTGACAATCTGACCCATTTATATGCAATGGTTGCCAGAAAACAACCTGTTGGAAATAAATAAATAATGTAAGTGCAGAATAGATGAAGTGAAGCTAAAAAGAAATTAAAAATTACTCTCATATAAATATTGTCAATCATATTATGTAATCCATCACGGACATAATAGAGTATAGGTGGCAATATGACCACTTTCAGCAAGTTACTATAGTGGGCTATTTTCAATTTTAACTATTTGTTTCATCTACCAACACAATCAACTAACAAGTAAGTCAGAAGCAGCTGGTTGTACGTCAAAAAATAAAACTGTGGACAGCTCTGTACTTTTTGTGAATGTTTTTTCTGTTCCACTTTTGTCTTGTCTGCCTCTCTCCTTCCCCTTCTGAAGCTGGGTTTTGTTTGATACATGGATTTTGTGTGATAGTGTTGTGATATCATCCTCAAATTACTACTTTGAAAAAGAACTGAATTGATCCACTTCTACTACCATACGAATGGAGGAGTAGAATCGATATTGTAGACCAGATGGTTGGGACCTACACCTGTAAATGCCAAATGCAGATGTGGTCCATGCTGCTGTGGTACAATGTGATTGATATTGCCACCCTGAATGCCTACTCCTTTTCAAAGCTCAGCACCCTGAATTCTACGTATGCAGGTATCACTAACGCCCAATGGTGCTTTCTTATAGAGCTCTCACATGAGCTTGTGACGCCTTATATTTAGAAGTCGACTGAAAGGTTACCCATGCCTACAACCTACATAGCTACAGCAAAGGAAAGGTATAGGATGACTAAAGCTGCAATCCAGCAACAGAGCATAAACAAACAGGGCCAACAGAAGAGGAAGAGGTGTAAGATGTGGACAGCAGACAGAGAGGGTAGACACTCAGGATGCAGCTCTGATTGTAGACAGCAGCTGCAGCTTCCTGCTGTCTCAGCTCACACAGCAGAGCGTGCCACTGTTGTGTTAGACAGTGCTGGTGTCAGCAATGTGGCAATCAGAAAGAGGAAAAAAAGCGTGGTTTGATTGTGAATGTGAAAGAGGTCTTCCAAGTTTCTTTCCTGATCTCTAGATGGGATGGATTCCACAAGGTGAAATGAATGAAACTATTTATTTCTCTCTTCATCAGCGTCACTTTTTTGTCAATTCCAGTGGGAAAGTTACATAGGAACGATTTTCTATTAGATAAAGATCTCTTTTTTGGACCATTCCCATTGGGCAGTCCATAAATATGAACATAGCATTCTGGATGCTGGCCTGTAGCCTCTCATATCCAACAATTTAGAAAACCTGACATCCTACTGATGGTGCTTTTCTTTCCACCATCATGTTGTAAACTGTTTCTGTCAGGGCCCAGCTTGCAGCAGGCAGTGAGGATGCAACAGATCACTACTGAAATACTTTGGTTTGATCATGGCTCACAGGTCAGAGTTTGGTACATTTTTTTTCTGGTGGACAAAAAAGAAGAAGAAAAAGAAATAGAAAAATACATGTTTTCTTATACCCCCCTTTTTTAAAATTAATTATTTAACCTGAAAAAAGCAAAAAATTGCCCTCCATATGCATCTCAACAACTGGACTTTTAGTCAATGTGATTTGACAAAAGCCTTATTTTGGTTGGTGCTAGTTCAGTCAGGAACACTTTGTCAAAAAATTTAGCTTTGTTGTGCAAAGTTAAATTTGGTGGCATGATTCTGTTCCGGGTCGGGGAGCGCACGCGAGGTTCTGTTCGGGGCCCCCCGTTCCCCACGCTGGCATGGGTGAAAGGCCAGTGGCAGGAAGAGCACCTTCCCGCCCTCCATGAGCCATCATGAAGGCAGAGACGGCGGGGGGTAGAGCAGCGATGAATAGAACCCTCCCAGAACAGGAGCACTTCAATGGTAGCGGAGCGATTAGCTTGCACGAGGGTGGAGCTGGGGTGGCGGTGGGTTGCTGGTTAGCTGTCAGAGCAGAGGAAGAGGCTGGGTTAGTGCAGTTTTAAATAAGGCACTCTACAGGCATAGGACCAGTAGGAGCTAGGAGTGAATCAGCTGACTATCGTCTGGTTGAGGTGGCTACTAGCCATTGGCTGTGGATCAGCACTTGACGTCGTGTCCTGAACTAACGCTATGCTTCATTTTTGCTGCCCCCTTGTGGATGGCACAGTCTCTGCTTACCTCACCCTCTACATATTTGACTAGTGTCCTCTGCCAAAATTATTTTGACTTTGCTGACATCTGACTGCCAAATATATTTTGTTAATGTATAATGTATAATGTTAAAAATTTCAACACTAAGCTTTTTCTTCAGGGGTTCACTGACACCCACGAACACCTGAAACCAGTGTGCCAAGATTGCAGTGTAAAAATAATCAACCTTGTCACTGCTGGTCTTTTCTTGTTTAGTGTTTCATAGAAATATGGATTGCTGCTTTTATAAAAAAAATATATATTATATACTGTTTGGTTTCTATGCATGTCATTTCTTGATTTATACCCGTCTCATTGATATAAAACCTTTAGCTGTAGAGAGCCTCATTACTGACAGTGTTTTCTGTTTTTTTTTTTTTTTTTGTAGGAGACAACAATGGTGATCGCTCTTCGTACTGCAGCAAAAATAAAAATGTTTTAATGTTTTTGCTAATTCTGAATGAAATGGAAGCCTGCACCCCTTCCTCCTTTCATTCAATTTTCAGGTCATATTAGAGCAGCAAACAGATATCTTTCTGATGCTGCCACTAAGTCAAAGCACAGGGGAGTGTTTTTCGGGGGATAGTTAAACGCCATTTGGGGACTGGGGGCAATGATCCAACCAGATCCTAGACCACCATAATGTAATGTACCTTCAGCAAGTAGTGTGTTTTATAATGAAAAAAAAGCAGACTGTTGATTGTGCTGATGAGAAGAGCTTGACTAGTGCGAAAATTTCAAAGGAAAATCTAAATAATGAGCTGAAAGAAGCAGATATTTTGCAGAGAAATTGTTAAGTCCATGATACCTAATGATGCTCATCTTTTTATATCATTCACATTACAATTGCTTACCCTGAACACTTTTGTACCACATTGTAAGATTAAAGCAAAGAGAAACTGACAATTCAGCATCCACACCTGCTATATGACAGGATATGCTACGCTGGAGTCACAGCTTGACTCTTTGCGATCTGCAGCCTTGTCGGTCTTATTTTCATGTTAACACCATGAATGTCTTGGATGAGTGGCTGTGGAAACGTTATTCCTGTCCTCACTTTGCCATGCAAACATCAACAGCTAACCCCTATAGACCCTCAAGGTCTATAAAGAATAAAGTTAGAGCAAAATTACACCTTGAAGTGATAAATTGAAAGTCAAAATACAGTTTGGCGAAGAAAAAGTCATGTCAACTTTGATACAGTCCAAATAGAGCTGAAATCTGATGGTGTGTCTCAGGAGCCAACTAGAGATACAGATGTGGGATTTTTCTAATGTGCTGGTTAGGCCTGTCACGATAACAAATTTTGCTGGACGATAATTGTGCTACAAATTATTGCCGATAAACGATATTATTGACACCGTTTTTTAAATTGTAGATAATGATATTAAATGGCATAATAATGCGAGTACACCGTGTCAAAAGTGATAAACTTTAATTTCACCCACGACGAAGACGTAACGTTGACGAGCTAAACATAAGTCGGAGATGACTAAAATGTGACGAGACGAAAGTGCGTTTACGTTGATGGGACGAGACGAAAATGACGAACAGAGTTGCAAAACTCAGTCAGTTAAACGCTAAACATATAGGAGCAGCTTCAGTCCGCTCTGTTAGCTCTCATCACCCTGCTGTGCTCCTCCAACACAGACACACACGCGCGCGCACACACACGTGGAGTTTTGTGGTTGACGAAAACAAAACTGGTTTAAAGCCGAAATATTCCCACACTTGGGCTGTTGCGTTCGGTTTAGACACCAAAGCTGTCGTGTTCATTCTGTTTGCTTGCTTTTCACTCACGACGCTCACTTGCAGCACTGTATCCAAAAGTCTGTGTCTGTGTGCCTGTGCGCGCCAGCCCCCTCGTGACAAAGACACTGAATTACTGACAGGAGGGTTCACTAACTCCGTTCATTCCGCTATAGAGCCAACGCCCCCAGGTGCCGAGAACAATGCGCAGAGTGAGACCTCTTCTCTCAACCAGCGTGTTTGGTAGCGAGAGAGGAGGAAAACAAACGCACGTCAATTATCGAGGCTGGCAAAATGACCGACCTCGTTTTTATTTATCGAGCGATAAGGCGATTTATTGATTATCGCGACAGGCCTAGTGCTGGTAATGCATCAGAAATAGTTGACATAACTTGAATTCAAAAATTAAAGTTTATTCACTACAAAATTTTATGAGAGGGCTCAACACCAATAAACACTGTAATCCCATGCTCAGTTTTTCAGCATTTAATTAGCTTTATTTCAAGTTCAACCGTCTGCACACTGTTGACTGGTGTTTTAAAACACATACATCTCATTTTTTTTTGCGTATACTTACATCCTCCCCTTAGCTTTGTGCTAAGTTTTCAGCTGCTTAATAAAAATGTTCCTCAAGCTTCTATAAAAATATGAACACTAAGCTTTGTTCATGCTTTAAGTCTATGTAATTCTAACAACTTCCAAAGGGCGTCCATTTTCACAACTTTGAGAAACATCTGCACTCACATCTGCACACACACACACACGCACGCACGCACGCACACACACACGCATACAGGCTTACCTGACCAACAGTGGACTTCTATTTCTGGTCATTTTAATAAAACAAAAATATGATAGAAAGTTTTCTTTTAAGGTCTTTTGTCATAATGTTACTTGAAATGTGACTTTTATCTTTTTTTTTTTTAATTGCCAAGAGGGTTCCTGGATCCTTGAGTGAGATCTACCTGTCTAACCGGGGACCTCCATATAAGGCAGTGGAGCTGTCTGAACCCACTCACTCTGCTGATGAGAGCTTGTTTACCACAATGACTTTCTTTGTTTCTTTCAAGAATGGCTGATTTAACTTAGGAGAAAAACATTTCCCATTCTTTGGCAGATTTCTTAAGTTTAGTTTAGTTTAGTTCAGTTTAGTTTAGTTTATTGTTTATTTAGATGGGACAGTGAACATTCATTGGTCTGTTCACAATACAGAGCACTGTAATCTTGATTGCTAGAAATAATATACAGTATACAATATGATAAAAATACTAGGAAAAGTGCTAAATTAATCAGGAGTTAGCTAAAAAGAGCAGCAAATGTGGAGCCCTAATAGCTAATGGCAGTTTGTTCCAGCTGGCACAGCCTTTGATGGACCAGGTATTTTGTGCTAGAACTGCTTATCTAAATTTTAAACTTCAAGATTCCCTCTCCTCATAACAGTTTTACTATATACTTTTAAACACTTAGATTTTCATTCACCATTATACAGTAGTTCTTTGTTTGAAACTCTGTGATAAACTGTAAGTAAATACTGAGTCCCCTCTTTGTCTGAACAAAATGACAAAGGTGCTCTGTTGAATGGTATGGAGTGATGCTCACTCCCAGAGTGTAACTGACACTCCTAGAGTTTCAGCGTAATGACTGACTCACATCCTCAAACAAAAACCTGACTGAGATGTGCTACGCAACTTTATCCCTCGTCATTTATGTATCCTGTTGCTGCAGTGTTTTAAAAAATCCTTTTGGTACTAATTTAGTGGGTGTATATATGGATAAAAGGTAATAATAATAATAATAATAATAATACATTTTATTTGAAGCGCCTTTCACGTCACTCAAGGACACTTTACAGAACATATAAAACAATAATAAAACACTATTAACAATTAAAATCATCAATCATCAAAACAGTTAAAATCAACAAAGCAACATTAAAACATGAACAACAGCAAAGGAATAAATAAAGAAATGAATAATAGCAATTGAAATTTAATTTAGAAAAGTGAGTTAGGGGTGGTGGGAGGGATAGGCCAGTTTAAACAGGTGTGTCTTGAGTTTGGACTTGAAGAGGGGGAGGGAGTCTATGTTGCGGATGTGTGATGGTAAAGATTTCCAGAGTCGGGGTGCAGAGTGACTGAAAGCTCTGCCCCCCATGGTGCTGAGGTGAACAGGGGGCACAGTGAGGTGGAGAGAGGAAGAGGACCGGAGGCGGCGTGATGGAGTGGCGATGTGGAGGAGGTCAGACAGATAAGGAGGGGCGAGGTTGTGGATGGCTTTAAAGGTATACAGTAGGATTTTGAACTGGACTTGAAATGGGACTGGGAGCCAGTGGAGCTGCTGTATGATTGGGGTGATGTGGTGGGACGAAGGGGTTTTGGTGATGATCCGGGCAGCGGAGTTGTGGACCAGTTGAAGTTTATGGAGAGACGTGTGAGGGAGACCGAAGAGGAGGGAGTTGCAGTAGTCCAGACGGGAGGTGACGAGACTGTGGATGAGGATGGAGGTGGTGTTGGGGGAGAGGGAGGGACGGAGACGATTGATGTGGCGGAGATGGAAGTAGGCAGTCCGAGTGGTATGGCTGATGTGGGATTTGAAAGAAAGAGTACTGTCAAGGACGACACCCAGACTCTTGACCTGAGGGGAGGGGGAAACTGAGGAACTGTCGATGGGAAGAGAGAGACTGTCAACTTTGGATAGGGTCTGGGGGCCTGGGGGGATGCAGGCAGGTCTCGCGGAAGTGGGAAGGGACCTGAGGAGGTCCACAAATTTCAAGACCCCCCCTCCACCCGTATTATTATTATTGCTATTCACCGTCTTTATTAATATTGAATGTTGTTGTTGTTGTTGTTCTTCTTCTTCTTCTTCTTCTGCTTCTTCTTCTTCCTCTTATTATTATTGTTATTATTATTATTATTATTATTATTATTGTTATTATTATTATTATTGATATTGTTCGTGTATTATAATTTTCTTTTGCTTGTCTGACAGTTGTAATATTTATTTATTTATTTATTTTTTATTATTATTCACATATATAGTACACACACCACACACACACAAAACCACAAATGCTGTTGTTTGTTGTATGTCTTGTATTGTCACACTGCACAAATAAAAAATAAAAAAAGGGATAAAGAAAAAATAAATAAATAAGATAAATGAATAAATAAATAAATAAAAAACTTTGGATAGGGTGACCTACTAGAAGAATTTCTGTTTTCTGACTGTTTAGTTGGAGAAAGAAGTTGGAGGTGAACCAGGATTTAATTTCGGATAGGCAGGTGATGAAGGAGGTGGGTGGGAGGGTGGAGTTTGGTGAGCTGGATAGGTAGAGCTGGGTGTCGTCCGTGTAGCAGTGATATTGAATGTTCAATCTATGGAAGATGGAACCAAGGGGGAGGAGGTAGGTGATGAACAGCAGGGGCCTCAGGACAGAGCCCTGGGGCACACCTGAACTGACTGGGGAGGGGTCGGACTTGAATGATTTGAGTTGGATGAACTGTGTGCGGTCTGTGAGGTAGGAGTGAAACCAGCGGAGGGGAGTGTTGGTGATGCCGATGGAGAGTCTACGTAGGAGGATGGGATAGGAGATGGTGTTGAAGGCTGCACTGAGGTCGAGGAGGATGAGGATGGAAAGTGAACCGGAGTCAGCTGCAATGAGAAGGTCGTTGGTGATTTTCAGCGGTGCGGTTTCGGTGCTGTGGCAGGGGCGAAAACCAGATTGGAAGGGGTCGTAGAGGGAGTTCTGGGTTAGGTGGGTGTGTAGTTTGCTGGCGATGACCTTTTCCAGTATTTTGGCTATAAACGGTAGATTGGAGATGGGGCGGAGGTTGTTGAAGTTATTGGGGTCAGAGCCAGAAGGCAGAACAGTTTAAAACCATACTTGCCAACCCTTGGCACTTCTAGGCATAAGCTAAAATCCTTCTCTACTGAAAGTCTCTGTTCTATACATTGTGACACAGTGGTCGATTGCCCCCGTGTTAGCATTAAACCTTCTTATCTGACTCATCAGTACATGTCCGCAATGAACACACAAAATAATGTAAACACAATAAGAAAACAGTTAATTATCTGAAACAATGATTAAATGATTGTCATCAATGATTAAATGATTAGCATGAACATGTGATGGTTAAATGATTAGCATGAACCTGTGAGTTCCCACAAATTCCCCCTTTTGATCTCTTCAAAGAGATCACTTTTAATGAGCGCGCAACAGCCTGAATTCCATGGACACTGAGGAGTTTGGATCGTCATCAACGGTACTATGGCTAGAAGCAGATGGGAGAAAGCTAGATGGCTCCCCTGTGGGGTCAAAGGTGGGGACCGGTTGGTATTGTAGCATCTGATAAGGAGGAGGAAAGTCCCTCTTTTTCTCCAGGGCAGTCACAATGAGACGGTTACACAAGGAATGGGCACAGGGGATACAACAACAAACGCAACACACCAGGATGGCCGCAAACACTGCAATAGAAGTGAGGATGGATGTCATGAGTGATGAATACTTGCCAAAAAACTTGGTGAAGGGATCCCACATAGAGTGATCGACCCCTGAGTGAGATTTCATTTCGTCTGCCAAATTACGGAGTGCATCGCGGGTTCTGGTGAGCTTCCCACCAGAAGCAGTATTATTTGGTATGTGCAGACAGCACTGATCACCAAAAATAGAGCAGATGCCTCCTTTTTCTGCCATCAGCATGTCCACCGCCTGGAAGGCCTGGGAGGCCGTGAGGGAGGTTGCACTAAGTTGCTCATGAACAGCTATAGATAGATCATGGGTGGCGTTAGCAAGCCTCTGGTGGTTGTAATGCAGATAGTTAATGCGACCTACGTTTTTTTTGGGAGTGACAGGGAAGAGAGCTGACCACAAAGGCATGCTATCAAATCCTGCGGCAACGTTGTCTACTAACTTGAATTCATCAGGGATACCGCGGGGGATGCCAATCAAATCAATGTATACTGGACTCCCTTGTTCCCACCATGCATTACCCATGGGGTCCCCGATGCTACGTGTTTCGCAATATGTTGGGAGGAAGAGGACCCAACAGATTCAATAGATGCCGCCAGAGAGTCTTCGTTCATGGGGACAATGTCAGCTGGGTACACTAAGGTGACTAATATGCATGTTCCAGACCAATTGGGCGGGAGGCGATCTAATAGATGATCCTTACCACAATACCACCAAATATCAGCTCTCGATATGGTGAGATTAGACAGGGCGGCGCCATCTAAAACCACTACGGACTTGCAGATTGACCGATAAACATCTCCAACCGGGGCTGCTGGCGGAAATGTGCGTGAGTGAATGCGGGTGTAACAGGTGAAATTCATGGTCAATGAAAGATCAAACAGAGGGTTCGCGGTTTCTGGGGGTTACAGCGGATGGATGTTATTTACCAGGTGGCAGGATCCTGACATTTTGAGAGAGGACATGGCTAACAGGGCGCAGTGTGAAAAGTTGGAGGGATATTCATCGAACATAGACTGAAACATATGGAGGTAAGAGTTGGGACCCATGCACAACAGGCACTCCGAGAAACCGGAGGCATTGTTCACTGCCATAACACTTTCTAGCCAGACATTATGCCTGGAAGTGGTCACGCCTAACGTCACCGTGAATCTGGTGGCGGGGTCCAGAACTGCCATGTCTACGGCGACAACATAGTCGGTGATCTGTAACTGGTTGTGAGGAATCAGGTTAGGCTCGGTGGCCTGGTCTGTACCTGAAGGGCTGTCTGGTGTACGGGAAGAGTTGACTAAGTTGATTCGGATGAGGCCCATGGGGTCTTTCCCAGATACATCAACACCTACAGTAAAAAACACACCTTGTTCATCTCTGCTGTCTGACCTATCTGTGAGACATCGGGGATATCCGGACTGGGACTGGGCCTTAGCGGATCTTACAGAATACGGATTGTGTTCAAACCCCCGGATAGTCAGGAGTAAGGGATTGAGCATGCCGTGCACGGGGGTACTCAGCAGTTTGACACAGGCGAAGGACACCGATGCCTTCAGCCGCCGTGCTTCTCCGTCCTTGGCGGAGGCCGTCCATCCGCCCGGCTGCGTGGTCCAGAACACATCCTGCCATGTCCCACACTCCGGGCGGAGCTGAGTCACCGCACTTTTACCTATGCGACACAGGTAGACATTATATTTCCTCTAGGGTGCCCCTGGACCGTCACAGCTGATTACTTTACAGAGGTCGAATAGGTACACAGTGGTTTGTCCTTTAACATGAGTGAATTCAATCTTACTCCCGGAGCTCCTAACACATCTGTCGCTTACTGGGCTTGCAAAAATAGTCTGCTTTGTGGAGGCGCATAGATGTCGGGCAAGATGGCTGTTTATGGGGAACAATAGTGGCAGGGTGATCAGTGTCCCTAACCCTAGTGCCAATATGACAACAATAGTGAATGTAACAGTTCTCCAGTGTCTGTGGATGATTAAGAATAATCTGTCTGGGGTTGGCGGTACGCCGGGAGCCTGGGGGTCAAGGGGGATGGGCAGTAGCGTAATGTTCTCATGGTCAGACAGTAGAGAAGATGTCGGGGCTCTAGTGGGGATTAAGAAGCACCCATAGTACATCAACAGTGCCAGGAGTGTCAATTTAACCATCAGTATTGCAATTATGCCTAGGTAAACCTTACGTCTGTTTGCAAGCAGGGTGGCATCCAGGTCAGGGTCCACCCCACTGAGGGACAGGTTAGTTCCGGGCTGTGGGCTGGGGGTTATAGGAGGAGATGGCAAACAACCATGAGTTCTTTGACTGCCGAAGGGGTACACATGGAATCTACAAAGCCAACATCTAAAGGAAGTGGGAACCGTGGCCTCTAAGTGAGTGAAATTGACAGACACTACTGACACCCCCTTTTTGGCTGTCACTTGGTTTGGTGTCCTGCTGCAGCCGCTGCAAGATCCTGCCGCACTTCCTTCAGGGAGCGTTGAGGTTTTATCGCTGGGGCGCACTGAGTAAGGTGGAACCAGGTGTCTCCCTTCCTGTCCAGCCGGACTGCGTGGGAGGTTCTCTCGGTCACCCGGAATGGTCCTGTCCACCTAGGCTCGCTCCACTTTCTCTTGATGACCCGAAGGAGGACCCAGTCAGTGATGGGTAGGTCACCGTCTTTGTTGCTGTCTTTGCTGTCTCGCACCTGCTTAGCAAATTCAAGTTAATAACCAGATAAATGCTGAAATAAAAGGTGTGGAACATACAGTGTGAAACATACAGGTAAGAAATTTTCTTGTCTTGTACGACCTGACAGATGATCCGTCCATGGAGGTCGCCCGGACAGGCAGCGTAGCGTTGTTGTCTACTGGAGCAGGTGTCAGCTGACGTCCTGCGGGATGTTGCCATCTTTCTTCAGGCGGTCAGGGGTAGACTACCCTGTGCCCTTTTCGTTGCAGGGATTATTCTGCCCTGTGTCTTTTCTGGAGGTGTGTGGTTCTTTGGTTTGGTGTCCTGCTGCAGCCGCTGCAAGATCCTGCCGCACTTCCTTCAGGGAGCGTTGAGGTTTTGTTTCTCTCGGTCACCCGGAATGGTCCTGTCCACCTAGGCTCGCTCCACTTTCTCTTGATGACCCGAAGGAGGACCCAGTCAGTGATGGGTAGGTCACCGTCTTTGTTGCTGTCTTTGCTGTCTCGCACCTGCTTAGCAAATTCAGAGAGAACAGATTGCAGTTGTACATAATAATCTTTCTGGTGCATGTGAGAGGGAGGAGGGTCAGTGTTTTGCAGGGCTCGCTCTGGCCCTGGAAAAGGTCGACCACGTTCGAGCTCGAATGGGGTGTGTCCAGTTGTCCTGTTTACTGAGGATCGGATGGACATGAGGGCGAGCGGTAGAGCATCCACCCAGTTCAGTCCTGTGTGGGCAAAAATCTTTGACAGCCTGTTCTTGACTGTCTGGTTCATCCTCTCAACCTTACCCTGAGATTGAGGATGATACACGGACCCAAAACCATGTTTGAGTCCCAACATGGCCTCCACGTACTGGAGGTCCTGGTTCTTGAAGTATGACCCATTGTCCAACCTGGGGCCTTATGTATCAACGCTTGCGGCGCAAGAAAACCTTGCGTACGCCAAAATCGGCACACATGTCCAGATTTATCATCGCGAAACGAGCGTCGGTTCCAGCGCTAATCAACGCAAAGTCAGGAGGTGGTGTAGAAATTGGCGTTGAGCTGATATTTGCGTTGACGGCACTTTGGCGACGCTGTGTGGCGGTGTTTAGTGACTCACTATGTGACAAGCGTCCACACATTGCAGTGGATTAATTGTTAATCCGACAGCTGTTCGTGTGTTAATTGTGTTAATTTGTAACACATTAACACAAACACGAACACCTGTCGGTATTACTGGAGGGGCTGTAACGAGACAACTGCTTTCTGCTATCCACATTGAATCCACCCCTCAAAGGAATGCAGGCTCCCCTGGTTTGGACAGGAAATGGGGGAGTAACGGTTTACACACCGATTTCCCATTTACGACCCAGGAAACCATTTGGGAGGTGATAGTGAATCTTTAACTTCTCCCAAAAGGACAAGTTGCTTATCAACCACACAGACCCATAAACACGGAGCCTCTCACCCTGGCTGGGAAAGATCAGAATTGATACTTCAAGATTAACCCAATGACCTAAGAGGAAAACAAAGCATTTGGCAAAAGTCCTAAAAAAACCAGATACCTGCCATATAATTCTTTGAGTGACTGTTTTTCTCCATGGCTTTCTTTACTGAGCAGAAGGAAGAGGATGCCTGAAAATGGTTTAACTTCATGTTTAATGGACACTTCACCAGAATTTTCTGTCTGCACACCACATTCGTAATGAAATGGTCTTCCCAAGATAGGCTAGTAGTTTTAGAAGTAGTAACGGAAAACTCGTTTAGACTCAAGTTAAGAGTTTCTGAATGTATCCATACTATGTTTTTATCTAGCTCGCACAAATATATATGTTAATCATTTATGAAGCTTGATTGACAAGGTTATATTGTGGTCAAGTATTATCACGTATGTGTTTCTTATGCTGGATGGTGTTTCTGTTCGAATAGATAATTTGTTTTCTGTCCCTCTCTAACTTTTAAAAGTCATTAATCCTCTGTTATTATCAAGAAGACGGCTGATCAAAAGTTTACTGTTTTCAATGTCATGCTTTAATGCATCTGCTCATAAGAAACAATGAAGTGAAATGTGATCGTATGTGATGTTACAAACAGTTTAATCATAGTGAGTGAGTAAATTAGATCTAGCTCACTTTACTATCAAGTTGAGTTAATTTGCTGCCAGTCGATAGGCTGCATTGGGGAGGTCCCCCCTCCTTTTCTCATCTTTGGTTCACGCCTACGGTGAATCGCTTAAAAGAGTTGAGATTTTGCCGCCCTTTAGTCTAGTTTTTCTTTAGTCTAGTTTTCTTCGTCTAGTTTTCTTTTGTCTTCGTTTGAGTCTAGTCTTTTGTTTTAGTCTTGTTCGTAGTTTTCTTTGTCTCTGTCTATCGTTCGCAATTTTCCCCGCGTTTTTATTAAGTGCCTTAAGCTCAGATTTCTCTAAATAACTTGGATGAAACCATACCCAAGTCATTTAAAGCCTCAGTAACAAGCTGCGCGCATAAGAGAACCTCAGTCTAAGTGTTATTTTATTTTTGTTTGCTAAAGTGACTCCTGAAGATAATATCGTCTGGCCAGCGAAATTATTTTCTTAAGTTATTGGCGCGAATTAATCTGCAACCAAGCTAGTCCTGAACGCCGACCAGCATCATCTGCCGAGCTGCTTTGCCACCTGGTTCCGAGAGGCCCAGAGATTCGAAGTATCTAACGGCGCTGACACGGTCCTGAAGCTGAGATCCAGACACGGCGGAAGAACTCCCGGCCGAACCTTCAGTATCCGGTCCGGTAGCCACAGAACTTCAGCTGATCCATTCCAAGAGTGCCGCTGAGAACCGACGTCCAAAGTAGGCAAAATCCTCGAAACTGCTGTGATGAGAACTGGGTGATGCCGTCAACCGTTCAGTAGCTTACTCTCATAAGTTATAGTTTAGTTCTCAAAATTCCTCTTAAATTTACCCTCGTAACTCCGTTAACGTAGGTTAAATTTTCCCTTAATCACTCACTATCATTAACCTCCAGTCTTAGGTTTAACTTAAGCCATTCCTTCGTTTATTCATTAGATGTGCTTTGATTTTCTCATTATTTGATCATCATTTATTGACGTTTTGTTATCATATAGCTTGTTAATAAATTGTCCATTTAATTTTAAGTTGTCGTCTTAGTGGTCTTTCAGAAAGTAGTCCCTGAATGAAGAATTCCGGCCTCAGATGAGAGACTGATTGAAATCTGTTTAAGACTGATCCAACGTTTAATTACTCAATTGAACTTTGTTTCGTCCTTTTCCCACCAGAAAGGTGGGTGGTGCCCCTTCAACGAGTGCATAAATGTCATAATTTAATTTGATTAATTCTCGACATTTATTTTGAATTTGAAATCGCTACAGGGCTATGAAAGAGCGCATACAACTACACATAGAGAAGACAGCATTCAACAATGGCAGCACTTGCGCTGATCGAAGATTTACAAAACCGTGCCATCCGACGTGAGCGTCATTTTATGGAGCGGGAGGACCTGCTCCAGAACAGCGATGAGTGGCTCATGAGCCAGTTCCGGCTACCGCGGGCCATCCTTTTGGAGCTGTGCGAGGAGCTCCGGCCGGCGCTGGAGCGATCAACGGCCAGAAGCCGAGCGGTGCCCGTGCCAACTCTGGTGCTGGGCACACTCGGCTTCTTGGCCACAGGGTCCTTCCAGCGGGAGATGGCGGACCGTGCTGGGGTGAGCCAGTCCACCATCAGCCGGGCCACGCCTACGGTGGTGGACCAGCTAATCCGCCTCTCTAACAGGTATATTAAATTCCCCTACGGTGCGGTTGAACAGGCCAATATTAAAACGCAATTTGCAGCACTAGCCGGATTCCCAAACGTAATCAGAGCTATTGACTGCACTCATGTTGCCATAAAAGCGCCGTCCCATGACGAGTACGCTTACGTTAACAGCAAAGGCGTTCACTCCATCAATGTGTAGATCATCTGTGATGCACAGATGAATCTGCTTAACATTGTTGCGAGGTGGCCCGGTTCAACGCACGACTTGCACATCATGTACAACAGCACTGTTGGGGAGAGGCTCCAGGCAGGTGCAGTGACAGACGGGTGGCTGCTGGGTGAGTAAATGTGTAATGATATAATGTTATTCAAGAAACTCAACGTGCATCAGTGACTTGAACCAAATGTGTGCAACGCTGATGTATTGTACTCTGTGTTTGATTTGCGAGTACTCGATGGATGTTATGGGTTATTGATTGCTTATTGCTTGCTATTATTACAACGCATCAAGCCCAAGACTTAACACACTGTGCTTTTTCTGAAGGTGACAGTGGCTACCCCCTCAGGACCTGGCTGATGACCCCTCTCCACAACCCCCACACTGACCGAGAGCGGAGGTACAACCATCTCCACTCTCGCTCTCGGTCAGTGGTGGAGAGGGCCATCGGCCAGTTAAAGGGTCGGTGGCGCTGTCTGGACCGGAGTGGCGGCGTGCTTCTATATTGTCCGGAGAAGGTGTGCCGCATTGTGATGGCGTGTGGCGTCCTTCACAATGTGGCACACCTGCACCACATCCTCATGGCTGAGCAGCACGTCGCCTCACATGATGAACCAGCAGCAGACGGAGGGATGCGAGCTGATCCCTGCCGGGCCGCCGTCCTCGCGCGGGAGAATCTCATCGCCACAATGTAAATGGGTAAGAAGTGAATACACAGTTTAATGAGACAAATTAACGTATTTTGTCCACCAGACGCTTGAGGACATTGACGAGGCGGTCCAGCCGCTCGTTGATCCCCGCAATCCCCCTAATTATTTGTTCCTGTGATTGCAGGACCGCCTCGTTAAGGACCCTTCCACTGCCTCCGGGTGGTCCACCGGAAGCGCCGCAGCTGGTGGACGCTCCATCGCTTGTCGGCGCGCTGGTGCTGGGGCCGGCCCGAATGCCGCTGGTCCTGGCCGACGACTCCGAGCCGGCGGACGGGCTGCCGCGGGCCGGGGTTCCACAAGCTGGCGACACGGCCGACACATTGATTTCTGTGACACAATAAAAATATTGGTTCATTTCAATTCCTGCTTCTGTGTATCTGTTGCGTTTACATCTATGGCAAAGCATGTGGACATTTGTGTGACACGCCACTTACCCTCCGGCAGGCTGTCTGAGTCGCCGCGGGTAGCGGCGACAATCCCCCCCACAGAGGCGCCCCCCATAATCGCCACCATCCGCTGCTTCAACGGCGTGAGGGTCTCCTCCCCCGGACCCCCACCTGTCTGGCCGGTACTCCTCCGGAGGGCAGCTGTACGCCACTTGACCTCCACCTTGAGGTCCGACCACTTTTTTTTAATCTCCGCGGGGCTGCGTGTCTCTGAACCCACCGCGTTCACCCTCTGACAAACATTCTCCCACTCGAAGCGTTTTCGTTTTGCACTGACGCCACTGGACAGGCTGCCAAACAAAACACGCTGTCGCTCCTCCACCTCCGCCACCAGCACCTCCACCTCGCACGCCGTAAATTTAGGTTTTCTTGTCATTTTGTCTGTGTGCGAGGACAAGCAGACCCTATTTAAATAAATCTGCATATTTATAGGAGGGCGTAACGGGGGCGGGCCCAGTCACTCCGACATCAGCGCTCAATTCCACGCTGATTGGGATTTATCAAGGAAACACACGTGGATTTCGGCGCCCGCACACATTGATACATACAGATTTTTTTCAGCGTGACGGACCTTGCGTGCGCTTGTTTCTGGTATGAGTTCCACGCAAGTATTGATACATAAGGCCCCTGATCTTTTATGGGAAGCCATGCTGTGGGATGTAATGGTTGATGAGACACTTACTTACTGATTTGCTGTCCTCTCTTTTCACTGGCCAAGCTTCTGGCCATCCTGTAAATGCATCAACACACATCAAAACATACCTGTACCCTCGGACTGAGTTAACCATATCTGTAAAATCAATGATGATTTCTTTCCCTGGATGTGTTTTTAGTTGGAACTTACCCACCCCGGGTTTGTATGTAGGTCTGGTGTTGTGGTGTGTGCAAACAGTGCAGTGTCTTACCCACTCCTTTAGCATGTCATGTAGGAAGGGGTGCCACCATTCTTTGAGATCCACTTTCATCTGGGAGATGCCTGCATGGCCAACTGCATGTGCTTCTGAGAAGATACTGTCTTTGAGCCCAGGTGGCAGAACCAACCTTCCGTCTGGGGATCTCCAGGTCCCTTCCAATAGGACTGCGCCTCTGAGTTTCCACACTGTCTTCTCTTCAGGTGAGGCTGGGTCCTGTTCTTTTGAGATTTCTGTAAGGGACAGTTTTGTCATTTGTGTCTCTGTGTCTGGTCTTGCCAACAGGAGCTTCTCATGATATCCTGCGGCTGCTTTGGCTGCGGAGTCCGCTGCTTGGTTGCCCATGGCAACTCTGGATCTGCTGTTGTCGTGTCCTTTGCATTTGATGATGGCTACCTTCTGGGGAAACCACAGTGCTTTTGCAAGCTCTTTCATTCCATCCATGTGTTTAATGGGTTCTTGTTTTGCAGATAGGTAGCCCGCTCTCATCCATTGTCCTAGGTCTACTTGTGCTGCGTGTACTGCATAGGCTGAGTCTGTATAAATGTTAATGTCTTGGTCTTTACCTGCTTTCAGGGCTTCAATCACTGCCACGACTTCTGCATTCTGGGCTGACTGTGGTCCATTGAGCTTTTGTGCTGTTACCGTCTTGAGTCCGTCTGGTGTTTCTTCTATCACCGAGAATCCTGCTCTGAGTCCCTCCTTCTCATCTCTGTAGCAGCATCCGTCTGTGTATAGGTTTCTGGCCCCTGGGATGGGCTCTGACTGGAGGTCTTCTCTGGCTTTTTCTTCTTTTTCAACCCTGTGGGCACACTCATGCAACACACCTTTCCCCAAACGCTCAGCCATGTTAACACCTTCATGAGTGAATAGCAAGTTTGGGGCTTGGAGAATGCGAGCGAGTTTTTGCTGTCTTGTGGAGGACATCGTAAAAGTCTGCGAGTTCACATAAGCTACAACGCTGTGTGATGTCAAGATGTGAAGTGTGTGTCCCATAACTATGTGTGCGCTTTTGTTGATGAGTTTGGCAACACCTGCAGCATGTCTTGTGCATGTTGGTTGACGTTTTTCTGTGGGGTCAAGGATGACACTGAGATACATCATATCATATACATGCCCTTCATCATACCGTTCTATCTCCCCCTTTTTTCTGGAACAGAATACCGTTAGCAACAGATTCTGTTTCAGAAACATCCAAAAAGAATGGGCGCATGTAGTCCGGGAGGGCCAATTCGGCGGACGCGGAAGGCGGAAGTTCTTGTTTGAGTTTGATAAAAGCTTCTTCCGAGTTGCGGGACCATGTCAGCTTCGCATTCAGATTTCTCATACCTGCAGAGGTGACCATGGCTCTCAGCAGAGACGTGAGAATGGAAAAATCAGGTAAGTACTGCCTGCTGTAACCCACCAGACCGAGAAACGACAGCATAGCTTTGACAGTGTCAGGCTTGGTGTGGTGCAGAATGGATGTGCGGTGGGTGGGGGACAATGAGGCCCCCTTTTGTGACAGTAGTCTGCTGAGGAAAGAAACTTGTTTCCGCGCGATTTGCAACTTAGGTTGACTGACCTTGTACCCGTGACGGGCCAGGAGTAGGAGTAGGGCCCGTGTGGCCTGCAGGCAGGACTCGGCTGTGATGGACGCAATGAGCAGGTCGTCGACATATTGAATCACTGTGGTGCCATCGGGCTGCTGCAGTCAGCCAAACTCTCTTTCAGAACCTGGTTAAAGATGCCAGGGGAGAGGGCAAATCCCTGTGGGAGGCGGGTGTAACGGAGTCTGCGACGCTGGTAGGTGAACGAGAAGACATCCCGAATGTTCTCATGTAAAGGGAGACAGAAAAAAGCATTAGCAAGATCAATACATGTGAACCATGCTTGTTCGGGGGACAGATTGTTCAGAGCAACATATGGGTTCGGCACCGGGACTGCATTGGTCCCCAAAACCTGATTGATGGCTCTGAGGTTGTGGGCCATACGGTACTGACCAGTGCCCTTCTTTTCAATCGGTAGAATGGGTGTGTTCCAGCAGGAGTTGGAGGGTTCGAGGACACCAGAGTCTAACAGGCCTTCTATGGTGTCCTGAATGCCCAGTTCTGCCTCTCTTTTGTGAGGGTACTGTGGCACCCAGACCGGAGGGTCAGTATTCAGCTGGAATGAGATAGGTTTACAGTGAATCAATCCGACATCAGTTGGGCCCTTGGCCCACAATGAGGCTGGGAGGGAGGAGATAAGCTCCTGTGCTTTTGGATGATCAGATTTTTCTCTACCATGGTCTCTAGGTATGAGTTCATGTGTGCATAAAGCAGAGTCAGTGGTAATACTCACAATTCTGAACATTTTCAGGGACGGAGAGCGGAGCACACCAGGCAGGCTGGAGGAAGACCAGTCTGAGGCTGAGACTGCTGCTTTGACCACGGGGCCCAATTCGCGAGCCTCATGTCCCGGATGGAGAGCCAGTGAAATGTGGGGGAAAGCAGTCTCAGACATATTATACCAGGACTGTTGCTCTCTTGTGAGATTAACCAGTGCCGCAACCCCCTGTTGTCCCACCACAATGTCACCAGAATGTAGCTGCCAGGTCTTACCTTCTAGCTGATTTTGGAATTCCTCTAGGTAACATTCATTACCCTCCCGGTTGTAGAACAGAGTCAGATGGAGCGGGTCAGGTGGAGCCACGTAGGGGTGGACGCTGAGGATCCAGGGTTTCCAATGGAGATAACATGAGTAGAGCCCAGTTTGTGATGGCTCCAACAGGGCCCAGAAAATGTCTGCTATCTAAATCTAGGTTCAGTGTCTCTGAGAAGGTACTGGTGTGTGTCCTCAATCCCTTGTGCACATTGAACTTCAGTCCCATCCGGGAACGTGACAGTGAGGCCCTGCTGACCGCAGAGGATCTGTGCATTGAGTCTCGAGAGTAGGTCCCTACCCAGGAGATTGACTGGAACACTGGGAGACACTAGATAGGGGTGATGTAATTTCTGTCCTGCTACGTGTGTGGGGAGGGGGATGGTAAATGAAACCCACCACGCTCATAGTCCGTCCAGACAGAGGCCCAATGTCCTGATTAACCGTAGATCTGGTAGCCCCTGTGTCAACGAGAAAGGGCAGAGCGTGGTCCCAGACCGTCATGGACAGCATGGGCTCTGCCGTTACACCGCTGTCCGAGTCGCTCTGTGGGGCATGTCATTGAGGACACTGGTAGGGGTCCTGAGCCTCCCAGGTCTGGTTCCAGGCAGTGACTGCGACTGGAAACTGGTGAGCCTGCTGCTGCTGTTGCTGCTGCTGCTGCTGCTGCTGCCGTGGGGGTGGTCCTCCCTGTCTCAGCGGAGGTGGTCCACGGGCCATGCCACGCATCGGGTAGCTGTGTTGCTGTGGAGGGTTTGGTGGGTAGTTCGGACAGTAACGCCACCAGTGTCCATTCATGCCACAGGAGTGGCAGGCGTTGTTGCGTATAGGTGCCGTTTGTGCCTGGTTCCAGTAACCGCCCTGGCGGGGAGGGCCGTTGTTATGAAATCTCCTGCTGCCCTGGAAACCTCCTCCCCTGTAGGGTCCACCAGACCTCGCTCCACGTCCTCCGCCCCACGAACCCTTAGATTGATCTGTGGGAGGAGAATAGGGAGAACAATCTGCCCGCTGGGGCACTGGGTACATGTCAGGTGAAATCTGTGGGTCATTAGAGGCAGCGGCAATCTAATTTTATCTGTATTACGATCTTTCTTACCCTCAGTGGCATTTCTCCGAGCCTGGGCAAGCTGCAGCTTCATAAGTTGTCTCTGCATGTCTTTGTCATCATCACCTTCTTTGTCGGCTCTGTCTTTCGCTCTCTGTAGGTGGTGTTTGAGATGATGTTCCCACACCAGGCAGGTTGAGCCCGGGAGGTCTGGGCTGTTTTCTAAGAGTTCTCTAACGTCTGCTGGAACACCTTTAATGACATCTCTAAACCAATGTTCCTGACCCTTACTGGGGTGGACCCCCGTGTATTTGGACCATTGCTCCTTGCACTGGGCTAGATACTCGCTAGGAGACAGACTTTTTTCCCATGAGAATTTGAGAATCATTGGGCCGTTGGGGAGCGGGTATTTGGAACGGAGTTCGTTGCGCAGAGCCCTAATTACCATGACTAGCTGCCTGTCATCATTGCAGGAAATGGTGCCTGCACAGATTTCGATGTCCCGGAGTTCGGTAGGGGTGACACAGAGCGCGAGAATAGCCCTGAAATCACAGAGGGCTAGGTCTTGGCCTTCAGTCAGACAGTCCAATTTGTCCAGCCATAAGTTGCCTCCCTCAGTGATGGGGGGCAGCTTATCACTGATGGTTTGTGTATTGCTAACAGCGAATGGTTTATAGATTTTGTGTCCACCACTGGATTCGACCAGAGGGAAAGCGGAGGAGCTGTGGTGTGCTGTAGCTGCGTCTGAATATGCTGGAGGTAACATGGCTTTTGAGCGTGTGAAGTGATGGTGGCCGAGAGGTGCACTCACCCTATTTTCGTTCATCATATGCTGCTGTTCCTCCATGGTGGCAGTGGGTCGGGCCAGGGCTTCACTGGCGCCTGTGTTGTCCATACAGTTGACGGTGGAGCTTCTGACGGCCCCCTGCATATCATCTCTCATGGTGCTGAGCATCTCATCTCTCACTTCTTGTCGAAGTTCCTCTTCCACTCTGCTGCCCATGAGCTCTGCACCTGTAACATCTAGGGTGTCTTGTAGTATTTTAGTGAGAGTGCTCTTGGTAGGATTGGGGTCATATGTACCTCTTACCGTGAGTTGGGCCGTGCAAGGCAAACTCTGTGAACTCTGTGAGCCTCTGTTCGGGGATGGCACCACTGTCTTAACCTGTCCCCTGGGAGTGGATCTCTGCTGTGGCTCAGGAGTGGGCAGTGAATCTGGTGTGGGCAAAGATTTAAATTGTAATTCTTTTTTAAACTCACTCAAAAAGCGGGCCTGACGGTCTCCGAATGGTGCATCGAGCTGGTCCTCCTCTTCCTCCTCGCTGTCCTCGGCTTCAGAGTCGCTGTCCTCATCCATGTCTCGGTAGGTATTGTTGCCTTCTCTGTCCTCATAGTCTGAGAGGTCGATGGTGGTGGTACCAGAGGTCCTAGAGGCCATGGATGGTGCCTTGGGTCCAGGAATGTGAGAAGTCAGGGAGGGGTCCGGCTGTTGAGGCATTGTGGTGGGGGGGTATGTCAATCTTCAGGTGTCCTTCATTGATGTTGATCACTGGGTAGAAAGAGGTGCTCACAAAAGGATTAGTGGGTGAGAGTTTTTTTCTGTGAAAACCAGACTGAGCGGAGTGGTAAAGTGGGGGTAGAGGCGGAGCTTTGGGAGGCTGAGCTGTGGGAGGCGGAGCTGAGGGGTGGAGACCTGAGAAAGGATTCGTTGGTTCAGCGGTGGGAGGAGGTAGGATAGAGGGAGGGGTAGCTGATGGAGGCGAAGCTGGGGTGGCACCCTTTGTGTTGGTGGGTGTGTCCTTCTGTGTCTTACTGTGTGTGTGTGCTGATTTGAATAATCTCATGTCTGTATTTGCGGTGGGGGTAATCCCTGTCAAGCCTTTCTCAGCTGCCTTTTTTGCATTAGTAAGATGCTCTGTCCCTCTGTGGACTACTCCCAACGTCTGCCACCTAGCAAGTCTTCTAAAATGCTTTTTTACGGCCTGTTTATATTTCCTGCGGAGCAAAATGCTGCCTAGCGCTGTTTTCTTCCTTGCTGCTTCTCCTTTTGCTAGCTCTTCTTCCCCACATGCCCAGATGAGATCTCATAGTGAGGATCTTTCATTTTCCCTCCCTTCGATAAGCTCTAGCAGCATATCAGCATACTTTTCCCTCCCTTTCGCTGTCACCACAACTCCATCTTCTTTCCCTATGCCCTTTAAGATCCACTCTGCCTGTGGAGATAACGGGCCCCACCCATCATCATCTACCTCACGATTAAATTCACCATCCATCCCAACAACAGCAACATCTCTTTAATGGCTGGCTGGTTTGTGTGACAGTTTTGTTCCGAACAACCAACCCTGTTGGAGGCCTTCACAAAGCCGGTCAGTTTGTATGACATGTTCGTTCTGAGCGACTTACCCTTTCAGTGTAGTACTGAGACACTTTGTGTGAGGTTTTCTCCAAGACACCACTTACAGACAAAATCAATTTTCAACTTATAGGTGGTCAAAACACTACTCAGTCTCCACTGAGCTTTTCTGTACGGCATATATCCTCGCACAGAATTCAACAGTAACACAGCAGAGAGGTACTCAGTCTCCACTGAACTTTTCTGTATGGCATATCACCTCGCACAGAATTCAACAATAACACAGCAGAGAAAAACTCTCTCTCATATTCTTTACTTGTACTGCAGAGCGCCCCGTCTCTATCACGCGGTCCTCTGTTTTTCACACACTTCTTTCGGGAAGTTGACCTTGGATGCATCCAGTGCTTGTCTCCTTTTTATCATATTTGCGTCATGTATTCCAAGCTTTCACTAAGTTCCCACTGGGCAGACTGCTGGACATGCAAACCCTCCCTTTACACCTCCACATCTTCTCAGGACAGAGTGATCTTCCGCTCTCGTCCTGTTGTTCACATCTCTGACTAGCACCTGCACATCTGTTATGAAAGGCACATCATTATCTAGAGCATATGTCAGGGTCATAGAGCACTTTTATAAGGAACACTTTTAATGAATGACTGTGATGATTCTAAAGCACACTTTTTAATAAATGACTGTTATGATTATAATACACACTTCAAATAAATGACTGTTAAGGCAGAACAGTTTAAAACCATACTTACCAACCCTTGGCACTTCTAGGCATAAGCTAAAATCCTTCTATAGTGAAAGTCTCTGTTCTATACATTGTGACACAGTGGTCAATTGCCCCCGTGTTAGCATTAAACCTTCTTATCTGACTCATCAGTACATGTCCGCAATGAGCACACAAAATAATGTAAACACAATAAGAAAACAGTTAATTACCTGAAACAATGATTAAATGATTGTCATCAATGATTAAATGATTAGCATGAACATGTGATGGTTAAATGATTAGCATGAACCTGTGAGTTCCCACAGGTGATGGCTGCTGTCTTGAGGGATGCGGGAACAGTTCCAGTGGTGAGTGAGGAGTAAATGATGGCAGATATGAGAGGGAGCACAGATGGGAGGCATGATTTGACCAGTGTGGTGGGAAGGGGATCCAGCTGACAGGTTGAGGGTTTGGATTTCCGGATGAGATCATAGATTTCAGAGTCGTTGGGGAGAAGAAAACTGGAGAAGAGCTGGTGGTGTGGCAGGGGAGTTGGAGGGGAGAGGGGGTCCAGGGGGGAAGAGAGCCTGAGTGTAGTTGTTGGTGGATATTGGAGATTTTGTCATTAAAAAACTGCATTAGGGTATTGCAGGTGTCGGTTGAATACAGGTGGGGAGGGAGGGAGTCCCGTGGCTTGAGAGATTTGTTGAGGAGAGTGAATAGTGATCTGGTGTTTCCTTTGTTGGGGATGATCTGAGCGGAGTAGTGGTCTATCTTGGCTTGAGAAATTGAGTCCTTGTAGCGGCGAATGTGGTTAGTGTACATTTCTTTGTGAATGGAGGGTCCAGTTTTCTTGTAAAGTCTTTCCAGTTGGCGGCCTTTGGTTTTCATGGAGCGGAGGTGGGGGATGTACCAGGGAGCAGTTGTGGAGAAGGAAACAGAGCGTGTTTTGACTGGAGCGAGGGAGTTGAGGATGTTATTTAAACAGGCGTTGTAATGGGATGTTATGTCATCAGGGGTATGGGGCTTGGGGGGGCAGTAGATGGTGGCGATGATGGTGGGAGTGGGTCCAGAGAGTGTAAGTGCCAGAAGTTCGAATGAGGAGAAGAGACAGCCGTGACTGCGGTGGTGGGAGAGGTAGGTGAAGTCCGGGGGGGTGGAGTCGTTGAGTGATGAGAAGTGATTTGGTTGTTGCCATATTTTAGTGATGCAGAGGAAGTCCAGCTTGCGGTCAGTGAGGAGATCATGGATGATGTGTCCCTTGTTGGTGAGTGAGCGGATGTTGAGAAGTCTGAAGCTGACAGTGGTATTGTCATGTTTGGTGAGGATGGGAGCCAGCATGGATGGGCTTGCTAAAACAGAGTGATTGACAGTCCGGGTGGTGTTTCTATCAGAGTGGTGTCTGTTGGTGATATGGACAGGAATAGTGAGGAGCTGGATGCTACTGTAATTATTATGGAGTGGGGAAAAGATGTCGGGAAGACCTGTGGCCGAGGGAGTCGGTGACAGAATTTGCCAGCAGGGGGAGCTCTGGGGAGGACCTGTCAGCAGTGGATGCACCACAGAGGGAGAAGGGGGGTGTGGGGGCGAAGTAAATAGTCAGTCACATGGGAAACAGTGTACAGTGTGCTGCAGGTTAGCTGCTAGCATGCGGCTACCTGTGGTGTTCGGATGGATACCATCCGATTTAAAAAGGGACGAACGGTTCCAAAAAAGATTAAAACTGTCCACGAAGGCAAAGTTATGGGCTTGGCAGGCAGATTGGAGCCAGGTGTGCAAGCTGAGCACTCTGCTGAAGCCCACGACCAGAAGTGGGAATGGGACCGCTGATAAAAACAGACAGTTCACAGTTCTTCAGAAAGTTAAAAAGTTGGGTAAAATGGTCCTTCGTGAGCTCGGTCTGGTGGAGGGACGTGTCATTAGTACCGCCATGGATTATGATTCTCTGGATGGAAGTTGGGAGAGATTTTAACAGAGTGGGGAGGAGTGTGAAAATGTCAAGGACCCTCGCACCGGGGAAACACCGCGTGATAGCGTTAAAAAAGCGGATGTTTCTCACGATGGAGTCGCCCACAATTAAAGTCGTCGGAGGGAAAAGTGGACGTGAAAACTGTGTGACCGGAGAGGAATGTGTCGGAGGAGGGGGGGAATTCGCCGAGGAGAACAACAGGGGCAAGATGGAAGGGACACGGGCCAGCCGCGGTGCAGGTGTGAAGCACAGCATCGAGCGCCGCCGGAGGGACCCGGCGAGCGGATGGTCGGGCACGGGAGGAAGGCCGGACGGGGACGGCGGAGAGCTGGAGGACCCATGAGACAGCCGGGTGGACATCGGCTGGGATCCCGCGGGCAGCGGGGGGGAAGTCATGGAGGTCCAGGGTGTCAAACCTGTTCTCCAAGTGGAGGTGGAAGAGGGGAGCCTGAGATGGGAGCCTTGTTTTCCCGGTGCGGGCGGTGATGTGGGACCAGTGCTCCTGCAGGGATGGAGTGGAGCTAGCCAGAGGCTCTGGTTTAGCCTTGGGTTTTGCTCCCAGCCTTGTCGAGGAGACGTTGGGGCAGAGGGATGGATGAGCAGGTGGAGGAGAGGTGGTCGCAGCAGCCAGGGGAGAGGTGTTGGGAGCGGCAGGGTCTGGATCCGATGAGCCGGTGGAGTCGGGATGAGGTGTTCTGAAGACGATGGTGTCCATGAGTTTCTCGGCTTCCTGGATCTGGTAGAGGGTGGAGATCCTTCGCTCAAGCTCCTGGATCTTTTCCGCCAGACAGGCGCAGCTGGCACAGCCGGATGGAGAGGAGTGTGGAGCCATGGCTGAAACAGAGACAACAAAAGCCAGCAGACAGCCAACGACACCAGGCAGGATCTGATAGAGGACAGTCTGGATCAGGGATTGGACTGTGCTGAGAAGGACATTTACACACCAGGGCTCTGTCCTGGAGCCCGCAGTGGTGAGAAAGCAGATCAGACAACACGGGAGGAGACTTACCGGCGAGGGCCCTGGAAGAGGGCAAGCTGTTGGTGGAAATCTCGGGTAAGTCTCTCTTGCGGCGTTCTAGCCGTGGCTGATGTGACTGGGTTTGTTTTATTTAATCTGTGTGGGTATTGGTCGATCGGTGTAGCCGGATAGATGCCCTGGGTATCTGCAGTCAATCTGTTAGAGTAGCTGCAGTCAATCTTTTAGAGTAGCTGCACTCCACAGGGCGCCGCCATCTTGTTCTCTGTCATGGTGTCGACCAAAACACGTGTTCTGTGTTCGTCTTAGCCCAGGTATTTTTTCCTCAGCAGGCTCTCATTATCCAGCTTTGACTTGTTGCAGCAGTTTTCCTTTTGACTCCATGGATGAGTCTCTCCTGTCCAAGTCTTGCTGGTCCAAAAGAAACCGAGACTTTTCTTCACCTGCAGGGGTTGAATCCTGACCAATGTTCCTTAAACTGGTAGCATGATAGCGTCCTAAGAGGGCGGATGGATGGCGTGTTTTGACCTACTTTAATAAGGTTATGAGAAATGTTCGCAGTGAATTTCAGTACTTAGGTAAGTTTTGAAAGCTTATGCAAAACTTACACCAACAATTTTTAACTTCAAGTGTGCCAACTAGCTAAACAGTGTGCCACAAAACGATTGCTACCTGCAGTTCACTAATTAAAGAATCAACCACTAACAGGTGCCCTGTTAAATGGTATGGAGCGATGCTCACACCCAGAGTTTAACTGATACTCCTAGAGTGTAAGTGTAATGGATGATTACTATTTTCCCAGAGCCTTTAGTACTAGTGGGCAAAACTGTTCATTTCAGTGAACCGGATCATTCCAGTTCGTTCAGTAAAAAGATCCGGTCATTTCGGTCAATTGGTCATTGGTCAGTCTACACTCATGTTCACGTTCGTTCAGACGTGAACGAAACAAGGAGATAAATCCTTTGCCGTTTCAGCATCAGTATCAGGACATACACTCACCGGCCACTTTATTAGGTACACCTGTCCAACTGCTCGTTAACACTTAATTTCTAATCAGCCAATCACATGGCGGCAACTTAGTGCATTTAGGCATGTAGACATGGTCAAGACAATCTCCTGCAGTTCAAACCGAGCATCAGTATGGGGAAGAAAGGTGATTTGAGTGACTTTGAACGTGGCATGGTTGTTGGTGCCAGAAGGGCTGGTATGAGTATTTCAGAAACTGCTGATCTACTGGGATTTTCACGCACAACCATCTCTAGGGTTTACAGAGAATGGTCCGAAAAAGAAAAAATATCCAGTGAGCGGCAGTTCTGTGGGCGGAAATGCCTTGTTGATGCCAGAGGTCAGAGGAGAATGGCCAGACTGGTTCGAGCTGATAGAAAGGCAACAGTGACTCAAATAACCACCCGTTACAACCAAGGTAGGCAGAAGAGCATCTCTGAATGCACAGTACGTCGAACTTTGAGGCAGATGGGCTACAGCAGCAGAAGACCACGCCGGGTGCCACTCCTTTCAGCTAAGAACAGGAAACTGAGGCTACAATTTGCACAAGCTCATCGAAATTGGACAATAGAAGATTGGAAAAACGTTGCCTGGTCTGATGAGTCTCGATTTCTGCTGCGACATTCGGATGGTAGGGTCAGAATTTGGCGTCAACAACATGAAAGCATGGATCCATCCTGCCTTGTATCAACGGTTCAGGCTGGTGGTGGTGGTGTCATGGTGTGGGGAATATTTTCTTGGCACTCTTTGGGCCCCTTGGTACCAATTGAGCATCGTTGCAACGCCACAGCCTACCTGAGTATTGTTGCTGACCATGTCCATCCCTTTATGACCACAATGTACCCAACTTCTGATGGCTACTTTCAGCAGGATAATGCGCCATGTCATAAAGCTGGAATCATCTCAGACTGGTTTCTTGAACATGACAATGACTTCACTGTACTCAAATGGCCTCCACAGTCACCAGATCTCAATCCAATAGAGCATCTTTGGGATGTGGTGGAACGGGAGATTCGCATCATGGATGTGCAGCCGACAAATCTGCGGCAACTGTGTGATGCCATCATGTCAATACGGACCAAGCTCTCTGAGGAATGCTTCCAGCACCTTGTTGAATCTATGCCACGAAGAATTGAGGCAGTTCTGAAGGCAAAAGGGGGTCCAACCCGTTACTAGCATGGTGTACCTAATAAAGTGGCCGGTGAGTGTATACAAGAAATGCATTTTTTCCACAGAAAGAACCAGGCGGACTTGAAGGGAATCGCTGTTTTTGAGGAGGGGGAAATGGCTGGAAATGTCTGTGCAGAGGCTAAATCCCTTAATGCAGCCATTTATAGCAATAGCATATGGCTTTAGTTTATTGTATGACTCTATATGCCATAAGGTGTTGGTGCCTCTGCAGGTGTAGGTTGCTGCCAGTGTTGTCCGTGCATCAGAGACAGACACGGTGCTTGTCTGAGCCCGACTCCCTCTGAATTGCAAATGTTCATCATCAGTTGGATTGTTTCTTGAGAAACCACAGAAGCCCTCTGAGACTTCATTTACTTTACAACTTTATCCTTGTAAATAAGGATTTTGTTACATTATTCCGTAAAAATAATGATTTTATCACAACTTTATTCTCGTAAGTAATGATTTTATTACAATTTTATTCTTGTAGGTGTAGCGATTTGAATTTATAATAAATTTCTGAAGATTAATAATCTTGAATCACGACATTTATGCACTCGTTGAAAGGGGCACCACCCAGCCTTTATGGTGGAAATATAAAGAAAAATAATCAATGTCATATCTCAAGCCAAAATTCTCATTTCAGGGACTCCACTTCTGAAAGAAAACTAACAGACAAGAACTTACAAAAATAATGATCTGTTTATTACAGGATAAATGATGCCACAACATTCATGCAATAAATGATAATAAGATAATGAGGATAAATAATAATAGATGAATAATAAAAGATTCTGAGTCAGGCTAAGAGCACTAAAGTTAATGATAGTGAGTGAATATGCTCTAACATATTAACCTACATTAACTTTGGTGCACATATACACATACATACACACATATACACACACATATATATATATACACATACACACACACACACACACACACACACACACACACACAAATCCCCCCGAATCACCGACACAAGAGCGATGATACAACACCCACAACAGCATCAATAATAACAACAATAGCAATACTGGCAATAATAATGACAATAAACGAATGACAACCACAACAACAACAATAATAACAGTAATAATGACCACGACGAGGATACAAAACAACAAAAATCACTACAATATACAACACCATAGTCCGGACCAGAGGCCGGCCCGGCCCCCTGTACCGCCAAAAAGCAGGCCGACCAGCACCCACGTCCGCCGTGATGGGACGCCCGTGGGGCACCCCACAGGGCTCTGCCCCGCGACCACCCGCCAACCGAACTGACCACCCACTCCACCTCTAAATATCCCGGGCCACACATGACTCTCATCTTGTGTGTTGTGTGTCAGCCCTGTTTGGAGCTCTGGAGGTTTGCATACTGAAGTGAGACTGGTCCTTGGCTACTGGCGGTTCGAGCGGTTCAGCTCTGACACTCACTCACTATGATTAATGTTACTGAACACTTGGTTCATAATAAGTGATTTGATACTAAACACACAATGAAATATAGGATCACATCAAACATTCTCATTATGTTTTAAGTATCACATTGAACATGCTAAATTACTCTGAAATGAAACAGATAGTAACACATAGAAACTGTGAACAACAAACACATGTGAATGAACTTCATCATGATTAATAACAGGGCCGGTTGTATGGGGGGTCCGGGGGGGGGGCCTTAGTAGACTGTGACTTGCAGACGCACCATCCCAACGAGTTTTAACATCATATCCAAAACGTGCGTCTGGTACGAAATTAAGTGCATTTAGTTCTGCCTGGTACAGCACCCGACCGTGGCTCGAGTACTCTGTTCAGATGGACGCTTGTTTCTGTTTCCCCTGTCAGAAATATATCAATGCTGGCAATGAGAAGGACGTTGTTTTTACTGTGCATGGTTTCAACAAATGGAACGCAGCACTTGAAAGTGGTAGGGGATTGCAGAAACATGCGAGCAGCTATGCTCATGTACAGGCTGCTGCGACCTGGGCTGAACACAAGGCGAGAGAGGCAACTGGGTCAACAGTTGACAGCATGCTGGTAGGTAAGACAGCAATTGAAAAGAACCAGTATTATGTGAAAAGTATTGGTGACGTTATTAAGTTTCTTTGTGTTAATGAGTTGGCACTCCGTGGAACAAAAGAAACCTTAGTATTTGGCCAGTCTCTGTCCCACTCTGACCACAGTCACAGTGGCAGCAGCAATGTATGTGAAGGTGATTGTGAGGATATTTCTGCTGGTCTTTTTTTGAAGTTGTTTAAGTACACCTTAGAGAAGGATGAAAGGCTGGCAGCTATTGCTAAGAACATCCCAAAAAATGCTACCTACACCTCTAACAATACACAAAATGACATAATTGAAACACTAGCCAACATGGTTTAAGCAAAGATCAGGGAGAGGTATTCCAAGGCTGACTCATCAGGATATTGTGTAAAAAGTGATGGGACAAGGGATAGTTGTAATTTTGAGAATTTGTCCATCATGATACGGTTTGTGTGTAACTCTGTACCAGAGGAGCATTTGATCGGTTTACTCCACCTGCATGAACTTAATGCAGAGTACACCACCACGAGATATTGAAACATCTTTCTGATGCTGGCTACAGTTCTCACAACATTGTTAGCCAGTGTTATGATGGTGCTTCAGTAATGAGTGTCGTACGAGGTGGTGTGCAAGCCCTACTGTCACAGAAGGTGGGTAGAGATGTGCCGTATGTTCACTGTTACAACCACCAGTTGCATTTAGTGGTTGTGCATGCTATGCAGGGTAAGCCATGTGCCAAAGAGTTTTTTGAACTGTGTAATTCCCTGTATCACTTCTTCCATCACTACTATGTGTCAGAAAATTATGAAAAGGTCCTAAACTCAGACGGCTAATTGACATTCGCTGGACAAGCCATTATGAGGTGGCAAGGTGCACTGTGGAGAATGAACAATGTTTTTGCATTATCCTGTCAGAGGTTTCAGAGGACGATAAGGCTGATGTGAGCTTGTGCACTGAGGCATCAGGCCTTTTATTTCAAATGAAGAAGCTGCATTTCTTTGAGATTGGCAAATTTCTAGTACAAGTTTTTGCCTTGAAACCAGCAAATGACATTCTACAGTCTAAGTCTGTGGATATGTGTGCTGCTTGTCAGGTTATTACTGATTCACTGGAGGTATTGAAAGACATCCGCAAAGATGCACAGGATGAGGATGTGTCGCATCCTCCCAAAAGAATGAGAACCCTGAGTAAATATCTTGGTGATAGTGTTGTATTGTCAACTGTGGGCCATACAGATTCTGACAACCCCACAATCACCCCCTCTCAGTCTCTGAAAAGATCTCTGCTCAACATTCTTGACAGGGCCATTTCTGAAATGGAGAGCAGATTTGCAAGGAAGAATGTAGACATTATGAGAGCCATATCTAGCCTTGTCCCTACATCTACTGAATTTCTGGACCCCACTGTGCTGCAGCCTCTCCATGCACTTGCTGCTTGTGGACCTAGTGAAGATTTTGTGACTCTGAAAAATATTTCTTGTTGCAAAGCGAATGTTTCTCAGGGAATGTCCAACTGAAACAGACCTGTCCGCTCTGTGTACATGCATTGAAAAGACGAAGTTAGCTTATCCTGTGTTGCACAAGCTGTATGTGGCAGCCCTTGTGATCAGAGTGTCCTCAGCTGCATGTGAGAGTTCCTTCTCTTCACTGGCACATGTCCTAACTCCCTACCGCCGCACAATGTTGCATGACAGAAAAAGACATTTGGTTATCTTGGCTCATAGGAAATCGACAACAAATACATTAGACATGGATGAATTTGTTAGAATTTTTGCCAAGTCAAACATAAGACTGATGCTATAGATAGGTAAACAGAAGGCTGATGTTGGAGAAGACAGATGTGTGATAGACGGAAACTTATGTGATTGACAGGTCGTCGGGACCTCGATGGTCAGGCACGTGAGGGTACACGGTGGCCGGACCTTCTGCCGCCTTGGAGCCCGCATCAAGGAGGTTGAGTCTTCTGCCCTTCAGATGTGTGCTCAGCACAGCTCAGCCTCTACGCTGGTTCTGGATGCCAGGATCGGCGACATCAAAGACCAACAGTCTGAGACCCTCAAGCGCGACTTCATATCCATGGTGGACCACATGCTGGATACAGGGAAGCGACTTATAATATCCGGCCCACTTCCCCCGACGCGTTATGGCGATGTCACCAACAGTCGCCTCCGCCAGCTGGACCTGTGGCTCAAGGGCTTCTGTCTGGGGAGAAGTATCCCATATGTGGACAGTTTTATTGCTTTTTTAAACAGACCCCACCTTTTTAAATCTGACGGCCTTCACCCGAACCAGGAGGGGTCAAGGCTTTTATCAGTAAATATTGACCTGATGCTCCGTTCCTGCACAACCACCTCCTGACTGTCTGCACACATGCCCTCTGCACCTCATTTACACTCACCTTCACCACTCCCTACTATACACGCCCCTCCCTCTGTGCCCTCAGTGGCACAGGACAGGATTTACACCATCACAACCATAACCACACATAGACTACTGAGGAAGAGGAGGACTGCTTTTAGACCAAAATGTGTTTTTAATGTTCCCCTAGAAAAATGCACTGAGCGCACGTTAAGCACAGATATTAAAATGGCTGTGCTGAACGTGCGCTCTCTTTTAAACAAATCTTTTATTATCAGTGACATAATTACGGACAATAACCTGGACAGCATTCTCCTTACAGAGACATGGCTTGGCACTGATGCACCTGTTATTCTCATCGAGGCTTCCCCACCAAATTTTAACTTTTTATTTTCAACTAGGGGGTGCAGAAGAGGGGGTGGTACTGCCTCAATTACAAAATGCAACATGCATACAAATGAAGTCATTTTAACAGCTACTCATCATTTGAGTATCATGCCTTTGTCTTTAGCAGCCCACCTATCCTCTGTATAACTGTCTACCGACCTCCCAAGTATTCCACTTCTTTTATTCGGGAATTTTCAGAGCTTTTATCAATTATTTATGCCACTTTTAACAGGATTTTAATAACTGGTGATTTTAATCTACATGTGGACATCTCCTCAGACCCAATGTCCAGAGAATTTTTAAAACTTTTACACTGTTTTAACTTCAACCAACATGTCACACAGCCGACCCACAGCAGGGGGCGCACCTTGGACTTAGTCATATCTTATGGTCTGTCCATTGGAGCGCCTTCTGTTGTGGACCTGGCTGTGTCTGACCATTTTTGTGTCTTTTTTACAATCACCAGCACTGGACTCAGTGGCTCCACTTTTTATAAAAACAATCAAATCAAAACCTACATCCCCGTGGAGAACTGGAGACATAAAAAAATTGAAAAGGGAATGCAGGAGTGCTGAAAGGAGATGGAGGAAATCAAAGCTGACAGTGGATTATGAAACATTACACTGACTTCTTAAAACTTACAATAACGCAATCAAACAAGCAAGAATCTCCCATTTCCAAAATCTAATCCATAACCATAAAAATAATCCCAAATTCCTGTTCTCCACAATAGACATTTTAACAAACAAAAATTTTAAAAGATCCTCCATAACATCTGATAATGTCCTTTGTGAGGATTTTGCAGACCACTTCAGAAGAAAAATAGATGACATTCGATCCAGTCTTTTATCCCGACAGCTTTTAACACCTGGATCACCGAATTTACCCGAGGAAGCACTGGAAAGTTTTGCCCTGGTTGATGCGAGGACACTTGGTCGAGTTTTCTCCCAGGTAAAGCCCACAACCTGCCTTTTAGACCCAATTCCCACACCGTTTTTTAAAAAACTCTATGGATTCTTTGAGGAACAGCTGTTGTATTTGGTAAACTGCTCTCTTCAGACGGGTGTCTTCCCCACCGCCTTTAAAATGGCGGTGGTGAAGCCCCTTCTGAAGAAGAGTGATTTGGATCCCAATGTTTTAAATAACTACTGGCCTGTATCCAACCTACCATTTTTAGGTAAAGTTCTGGAAAAACTCGTTTTTAACCAAGTAAATGATTTTTTAAACTCAAAACAAATTTTAGAGACTCATCAGTCTGGCTTTAGGAGGAACCACAGCACAGAGACAGCACTTCTGAAGATTTTAAATGACATCAGATGTGGCTTAGATAACCACAAACTCACAGTGTTGGTTCTGCTGGATCTTACAGCCGCCTTCAATACAGTAGACCATCACATTTTATTAAATAGACTGCGGAATGTGGTTGGCCTCTCTGGTACTGTTCTTAAGTGGTTCACGTCCTACCTGACTGATCGAAATTTCTTTGTAAGTATGGATACATGTTCCTCAAGGACCCATAAAATTGAATGTGGGGTTCCCCAAGGGTCAATTCTAGGTCCAACTCTGTTCAACCTCTACATGTTACCCCTTGGGGATGTCATCAGGAGGCACAGCATCAGCTTCCATAGCTATGCTGATGATACGCAACTGTACATCGCCGTGTCTCCTGATGACACAGGGCCAATTGATGCCCTTTTTAACTGCATTTTAGACATTAAATCATGGATGGCAGCAAATTTCCTGCAGCTCAACCAGGACAAAACAGGTTTTAGTCATTGGTCCTGAAGGCCAGAGAGATGCATGCTTTTATCTCGTGTCGTTTGGATTATTGTAATGCCCTGCTCTCTGGTCTTCCCAAAAAGAACATGCAAAACCTACAATTGTTACAAAACTCAGCCGCACATGTGCTGACGAGGACCAGAGGGCGGGAGCACATTACTCCTGTCTTAAAATCGCTGCATTGGCTCCCCGTGCGTTTCAGGATCGATTTTAAGGTTCTCCTCCTAAGATTTAAGTGTCTTAATGGTCTTGGGCCGTTTTATTTATCCGAGATACTTTTCCCGTATCAACCCTCACGGACCCTGAGGTCCTCTGGAGCTGGTCTCTTAAAAATCCCACAAGTAAGAACTAAGACATACGGGGCGGCGGCATTCAGTTATTATGGCCCCCGATTGTGGAACAGCCTCCCAGAGAGCCTCAGGGCTGCAGAGAATGTTGATATTTTTAAAAAGAGGCTAAAGACTCATCTTTTTAATCAGGCTTTTAATTGACTAGTTTAACTCTTTTAATCCCTTTTATGCTCACTTTTATTGTTTTACTATTTAACACTTTTTATTACCGTTCTATTTTATTCTTTAATCTATCAATTTTATTATTATTATTTTTAGTCTGGCGTGTTTTACAGTGCACAGAATCATTTTATCTTACATTATTTACTGGGTCTGTCTTAGCGATTACAGTTTTATTCCTTCAGTTTTAGTTTCTATACTTTTATGTCTTATTTTATTCTTTTATTCCCTCAGTTTTTCCAGTGTTTCCTCCTGGGGGCTGCTTCACCGGGAGCGGGTTCTGGTCTGTTGGTGGGGGCGCCGTTCTGGGGACAGCTCTGGCCCGGGTGGAACCAGAGAGCTCTACACCTTGGTGCGGAGCCTCCTGTCTGCCCGGGCTGGTGGTCCCTGTGACGGCGCCCCCTGCAGCAGCAATGGGCCGGGATGCGTCCCGGTCGACGTGGCCCCCAAAGGTAGCGTCTTCCTCACCTCAGATCTCAGTGCCCAGTCATGTCTCCTCACCATCAGCTGCTAACTGTGTAGATGCGTATGTATGTGAAGTTGTGTGTGCGGAAATGTATGTCTATGTTCACGGGTGTGTGTATGGGTATTATTGTGCGGGTGGGAGGTTTGGGGTTTTCTTGGGGATTTTAATGTTTCATTTTGTTTTTATGCTTTGTAAGGCACTTTGTGTTTCAACTTGTAGGAAAAGTGCCATATAAATAAAATAAAGTTGAAGATACATGATACAGGTGTAATTGATAGACAGTGATTGACAGAATGTGACTGACAGATGGTGTATAGAGACAGCAACAGATGTGATTGACATGATACAGGAGTGAAACTGAAGTGACAGACAGACAGATAGATGCATATGATAGATATAATGACAGACGTACAGATAAGATGATACTGTAGCTAACATGGTGTAATTGATTGACAAACTGATGTGATTGACAGATAAATATGATACAGGGGTTAAATGTAACAGACAGACAGATGAATATGATAGATATGATGACAGACAGACAGATATGATGGTAGCTAACATGGTGTAATTGATAGAAATTGGTGTCATTGACAGATAAACATGATACAGGATAAACATGACAGACAGACAGACAGACAGACAGACAGACAGAGGAATATGACAGATAGATATGAAGACAGATAGGCAGACAGACAGATAGATGTGATGATAGATAGACAGACAGACAGACAGAGGAATATGACAGATAGATATGATGACAGATAGGCAGACAGACAGATAGATGTGATGATAGATAGACAGACAGACAGACAGATACGATGATGGAGAGATATGGTAGATAAATGAATGCAAACAAAAAAAAAACTATAAAAAATAAATAAATAAATAAACAATGCAGCCTCAATGAGACACAAGCCAGTGTCCTACTTGTGCCGGTCCCAAGCCCGGGGAAATGCAGAGGGTAACCAAAAGCCAGCATTGGGGCCCCTCCAAGATTTCTTAGTGCCCACTCTGGTGGGTAAACCTAGAACCGGGCCTGATTAATAATAGATTCTAAATACTCACATTCAGATTATTCAATGACATTATAACCAACTAATGTTTAAAAATACTAAATAAATGATTAAAAATATAAACCAAATATTTTTAAACTATTTATGTTAGAGTTAAGTAATGATTTATAGTCAATAAATTTAACTCTTAAAAGTTCATGAAACAGTCTGAAAATCTGTTGGTCTAAAGAAACTAAAGAATAAAGGATTTATTCTGTCAGAGTGATAACTTGGCTTCTGGAGCACATAGAAAAATGGGAATCATCTCATTTTAACATAAATTTCATGATTAGACAGATTAGTACATTGCTGAATGCATGATCAGTCATTTGTATTCTTCCTCCAAAGGAATGCAGTTTTTATCAGAACATGGTTGAGCAGGGTTTTATGGAGGTCAGTGTCCTGCTCCTCAGACTTTTCCTTGGGATCTGTGCGTTCACACACTTTAAGACGGTAAATCTCAAATGGGAGACCTGGATTGAGGCATGAATGTTTATTTAGATGGTCAGCGATGGAGTCAGTTTGAAAGGTAATAAAAACTCTGTCTCTGTTCTCTGAATTGACCAATCCTGAAGAGCCAGAGGTTTCAGTCAACCTCCAGTCGGGTCAGTTAGGTAACCTGAAAGTGCAAACAAGTCTGGAAAGATTTATATTGTCCTGTGTCCTGGGACCAGGTAAGGGACCGTTCCTGTGAGGAATGTGTAGGTTTCACCCACAAGGTTGTCTTGATGCTACATAAGTAATGATTTTACTTCGACCTTATTCTCGTATGTGATGATTTTGCTATGACTTTATTCTCTTTAGTATTGACTTTATTCTCAAAGTCTTAATTTTTTTTTTTCTTTATGTGGCCCTAATACTCATATGATGAAATGTGACGCACACATTTATGCCTTATGCCTTTGTGGTGTTTCTATTTTGATGGTTGAAGTCCTCAAAAGTAAGTAATAAAAGTGGATATGACACCTGGATTTCTGCAAATCCAAAAAATCCAAAGAGACAGGAGTAGGTATGAAGACTTTAGGGCTATTTTCCAAGCTGACAGAGGGAGAACAATCATAACGAAACCATTAGGAGCATTTGAGATTCAGTGGATGATCATTTCTTTTTTATCAACAGTTTGTATATGAAAAATGACCCTAACCCCCCAGCAGCTGACAAACGCATGGACAACATCACAGTGACTATGTTCCCTTTTCGACTGACAGTTATTAATAATAATAATAATAATACATTTTATTTGAAGCGCCTTTCACGTCACACAAGGACACTTTACAGAACATATAAAAACAATAATAAAACACTATTAACAATTAAAATCATTAATCATCAAACAGTTAAAAATCAACAAAGCAACATTAAACATGAACAACAGCAAAAGAATAAATAAAGAAATTAATAATACCAATTGAAATTTAATTTAAAAAAGTGGGTTAGGGGTGGTGGGAGGGATAGGCCAGTTTAAACAGATGTGTTTTGAGTTTGGACTTGAAGAGGGGGAGGGAGTCTATGTTGCGGATGTATGATGGTAAAGAGTTCCAGAGTCGGGGGGCAGAGCGACTGAAAGCTCTGCCCCCCATAGTGCTGAGGTGAACAGGGGGCACAGAGAGGTGGAGAGAGGAAGAGGAACGGAGGTGGCGTGCTGGAGTGGCGATGTGGAGGAGGTCAGATAGGTAAGGAGGGGCGAGGTTGTGGATGGCTTTGAAGGTATACAGGAGGATTTTGAACTGGATTCGTAGAGGGACCGGGAGCCAGTGAAGCTGCTGAAGGATGGGGGTGATGTGGTGGGACGGAGGGGTTTTGGTGATGATACGGGCAGCGGAGTTGTGGACCAGTTGAAGTTTATGGAGAGACGTGTAAGGGAGACTGAAGAGGAGGGAGTTGCAGTAATCCAGACGGGAGATGACGAGACTGTGGACGAGGATGGAGGTGGTGTTGGGGGAGAGGGAGGGGCGGAGACGATTGATGTGGCGGAGGTGGAAATAGGCAGTGCGAGTGGTAAGGCTGATGTGGGATTTAAAAGAAAGAGAACTGTCAAGGACGACACCAAGACTCTTGACCTGAGGGGAGGGGGAAACTGAGGAACTGTCGATGGGAAGGGAGAGACTGTCAACTTTGGATAGGGTGGATTTGGAACCTACAAGAAGAATTTCTGTTTTCTGACTGTTTAATTGGAGAAAGTTGGAGGTGAACCAGGATTTAATTTCAGATAGGCAGGTGATGAGGGAGATGGGTGGGAGGGTGGAGGTTGGTGAGCTGGAGAGATAGAGCTGGGTGTCGTCAGCATAGCAGTGGTATTGAATGTTGAATTTATGGAAGATGGAACCAAGGGGGAGGAGGTAGATGATGAACAGCAGGGGCCCCAGGACAGAGCCCTGGGGCACACCTGAACTGACTGGGGAGGGGTCGGACTTGAATGATTTGAGCTGGATGAACTGTGTGCGGTCTGAGAGGTAAGAGTGGAACCAGCGGAGGGGAGTGTGGGTGATGCCGATGGAGGAGAGTCTATGAAGGAGGATGGGATGGGAGATAGTGTCGAAGGCTGCACTAAAGTCGAGGAGGATGAGGATGGAAAGTGAACCAGAGTCAGATGCAGTGAGAAGGTCGTTAGTAATTTTAGCAGTGCGGTTTCGGTGCTGTGGCGGGGGCGGAAACCAGATTGGAAGGGGTCATAGAGGGAGTTCTGGGTTAGGTGGGTGTGAAGTTGGCTGGCGACGACCTTTTCCATTATTTTGGCTATAAACGGTAGATTTGAGATGGGGCGGAGGTTGTTGAAGTTATTGGGGTCAGAGCCAGGTTTTTTAAGGATAGGGGTGATGGCTGCTGTCTTGAGGGATGCGGGAACAGTTCCAGTGGTGAGTGAGGAGTGAATGATGGCAGATATGAGAGGGAGCACAGATGGGAGGCATGATTTGAGCAGTGTGGTGGGAAGGGGATCCAGCTGACAGGTTGAGGGTTTGGATTTCTGGATGAGATCATAGATTTCAGAGTCATTGGGGAGAAGAAAACTGGAGAAGGGCTGGTGGTGTGGCAGGGGAGTAGGTGAGTTTAGAGGGGGTCCAGGGGGAAGAGAACCTGAGTGTAGTTGTTTATGGATGTTGGAGATTTTGTCATTAAAAAACTGCATTAGGGTGTTGCAGGTGTCGGTAGAATACAGGTGGGGAGGGAGGGAGTCCGGTGGCTGGAGAGATTTGTTGAGGAGAGTGAATAGTGATCTGGTGTTTCCTTTGTTGGAGATGATCTGGACGGAGTAGTGGTCTGTTTTTGCGTGTGTGGTTAATGTACATTTCTTTGTGAATGGAGAGTCCAGTTTTCTTGTAAAGTCTTTCCAGTTGGCGGCCTTTGGTTTTCATGGAGCGGAGGTGGGGGGTGTACCAGGGTGCAGTTGTGGAGAAGGAAACAGAGCGTGTTTTGAGTGGAGCGAGGGAATTGAGGATGCTATTTAAACAGGTGTTGTAATGAGATGTTATGTCATCAGGGGTAGTGTAACAGTCCGGGATCACAATATTCATAATCTTAGAGCACAGAGTGTCAATGTTTATGTTCTTAAGGTTGCGGAATGTAATGAGGCGTGGTGAATAAACTCTAGAGAGGGAGAGCGGAATACTGAAGGAGATGAGGAGGTGGTCACTTACGTGGAGATCATCAGCTGTGCAGTTGGATGGGATGAGGCCAGAGCAGCAGAGTAAATCCAGAGTGTGTCCTTTAGTGTGTGTCGGGAGGTTGATGAATTGATGGAGTCCAAAACTGTCCAGGCAGGATGAGAAGTCACTGGTGAGGGGGAGGTTGGTGTTGTCAATATGGATATTGAAGTCCCCCAGTATTATTATGTTTGGTGAGAGTGTGCATAGATGGGTGAGTAGAACCGAAAAGTCATTTAAGAAGTCAGAGTGAGGCTTGGGGGGGCGGTAGATGGTGGCGATGATGGTGGGAGTGGGACCAGGGAGTGTAATTGCCAGAAGTTCGTGTGAGGAGAAAAGAGGCAAGGACAGCGGTAGAACTTTCCACTTTTTGTGGTGGATGACGGCAATACCTCCACCACGGCCGTGGCTGCGGGGGTGGGAGAGGTAGGTGTAGTCCGGGGGGGTGGAGTCGTTGAGTGATGAGAAGTCATTTGGTTGTTGCCATGTTTCAGTGATGCAGAGGAAGTCCAGCTTGCGGTCAGTGAGGAGATCATGGATGATGTGTCCCTTGTTGGTGAGTGAGCGGATGTTGAGAAGTCCGAAGCTCACAGAGGTATTGTCATGTTTGGTGAGGATGGGAGCCAGTATGGATGGGCTTGTTAAAACAGAGTGATTGACAGTCCGGGTGGTGTATCTATTAGAGTGGTGTCTGTTGGTGATATGGACAGGAATAGTGAGAAGTTGGATACTACTGTAATTATTAGGGAGTGGGGAAAAAATGTCATGAAAACCTGTGGCAGAGGGAGTCGGTGACAGAATTTGCCAGCAGGGGGAGCTCTGGGGAGGACCTGTCAGCAGTGGGTGCACAACAGAGGGAGAGGGGTGTGTGTGTGGGGGGGAAGTAAATAGTCAATCACGTGGGAAACAGTGAACAGTGTGCTGCAGGTTAGCCGCGAACATGCGGCTACCTGTGGTGTTCGGGTGGATACCATCCAGTTTAAAAAGGGACGAACGGTTCCAAAAAAGATTAAAATTGTCCACGAAGGCAAAGCTATGGGCTTGGGAGGCAGATTGGAGCCAGGTGTGCAGGCTGAGCACTCTGCTGAAGCTCCCGCACCCACGACCAGAAGTGGGAATGGGGCCGCTGATAAAAACAGACAGTTCACAGTTCTTCAGAAAGTTAAAAAGTTGGGTAAAATGGTCCTTCGTGAGCTCGGTCTGGTGGAGGGACGTGTCATTGGTGCCAACATGAATTATAATTCTCTGGATGGAAGTTGGCAGAGATTTTAACAGAGTGGGGAGGAGTGTTAAAATGTCAAGGACCCTTGCACCGGGGAAACACCGCGTGAGAGCGTTAAAAAAGCGGATGTTTCTCACGATGGAGTCGCCCACAATTAAAGTCGTTGGAGGGAAAAGTGGACGTGGAGACTGCGTGACCAGAGAGGAATGGGGAGGGGGGGAACTCGCCGGGGAGGACAACTGAGGCGAGAGGGAAGGGACACGGGCCAGCCGTGGTGCCGGTGTGAAGCACGGCATCGAGCGCCGCCGGAGGGACCCGGCGTGCGGATGGTCGGGCACGGGAGGCGGAGGACCGGAGGACCCATGAGATAGCCGGGTGGACATCGGCTGGGATCCCGCGGGCAGCGGGGGGGAGTCATGGAGGTCCAGGGTGTCAAACCTGTTCTCCAGGTGGAGTTGGAAGAGGGGAGCCTGAGGACGGAGCTTTGATTTCCTGGTGCGGGCGGTGATGTGGGACCAGCGCTCCTGCAGGGATGGAGTGGAGCTAGCTGGAGGCTCTGGATTAGCCTTGGGTTTTGCTCCCAGCCTTGTCGAGGAGACCTCGGGGAAGAAGGATGGATGAGCAGGCGGAGGAGAGGTGGTCGCAGCAGCCGGGGGAGAGGTGTTGGGAGCGGCGGGGTCCGGATCCGACGAGCCGGTGGAGTCGGGATGTGATGTTCTGAAGACGATGGTGTCCATGAGTTTCTCGGCTTCCTGGATCTGGTAGAGTGTGGAGATCCTATGTTCCAGCTCCTGGATCTTTTCCGCCAGACAGGCGCAGCTGGCACAGCCGGGTGGAGAGGAGTGTGGAGCCATGGCTGAAATGGATAAAAACAACAACCAGCAGACAGCCAACGACACCAGGCAGGATCTAATAGAGGACAGTCTGGATCGGGGATTGGACTGTGCCGAGAAGGACACTTACACGCCAGGGCTCCGTCCTGGAGCCCGCAGCGGTGAGGAAGCAGATCAGACAACACGGTAGGAGACTTACCGGCGAGGGCCCCGGAAGAGGGCCCGCTGATGGTGGAAATCTCAGGTAAGTCTCTCTTTCGGCGTTCCAGCCGTGATCGATGTGACCGGGGGTATTTTATTTGATCTGCTGTGTATTGGTCGATCGTTGTAACCGTTGTAGCCAGGTAGATGCTCTGGGTATCTGGGGTCAATCCGTTAGAGTCGTCTGTTAGAGTAGCTGGACTCCACACGGCGCCGCCATCTTGTCAGGGTGTGTAGGTGTATGCATCATGAGTCAGTCAGTTATTGACTGAAATATAACGAAATAAAAGTTTCATGCAGATACAAACACCTGATCTTTCTCTGCAGCTGAGGGGAATAATAAGGAGCTGCAGATATGTTGAATAAACGTAGGATATTCCAGCCTCAAACCTGGCCGCCTGTTAAACCACAGTATAATCAATCATAAGTGAATAAAAACTAGCCCTATCCACTGTCCCTATATATGCACACACTTCTCCCCAACCTCCATCTCTCTGTCTCATATCCTTTCAAAGTAATATTCCTCAATCCATCACTGCCCCCTCTGCTTCCAGTTTTTTGATGTCATGCATCTCCTGGCTTTTAGCTTGTCTCCAACAAAACGTCAATCAATCATCAGCTCCCATTCTCTTTCTCTGTCCTTCTCTCTCTCTCTCTTTCTCCCCCTTGTGCTTTCTCAAACCCCCTCACTGCCTCCTTTCCTCTCTGGCTCATACATTATCAATCACTATTTTTGCCTCACCCCGAACACTCAACCGCCCCCGTCATCTCTCTTTCCACTCTTTCCAGTTATTGATCAATCAATCAGTCTACAGTTTGGCTCCATTGACAACCAAAAGATGGAAAATCACTTTGTATACCTGCCTCTCCTGCTAATACAATTAGTATTCTTTTATTCTGCCCTGTGTATTAGATCAGCCTGGTGAGGAGCTTTCAGACAGTTTTATTGAGGAACGGCTGTGAAATCAAAAGTGACTGAAAGTTATAGAGTTAAGTGAAGCATTAAGGAAGATGACTTATTTATTTATTTCATTAATTCATAAAGGACACAGTGCTAATTGGTTAAAACAGACAGATGTGCATGGCTTTAAGAGTGAAAAAGGCCAGCCAGCCAGGGCATTTCAATCATGTAAAAGAACAGCTTACCAGTGAGCTTACAATGGTTACACACCGTCCATGTGCTCTGTCAATTCACAACAGGTAGGAGGATTTTTAAAGTTTATAAAAAAGCAGCTGGATAAATAACGGAATGAATTGTACAATGGTGGTGCCTGTATTTGGAGAGTTTAGCCTCAGACACTCCCAGCCTAATGAACCTGTTATTATCATGACGTAGTGGTCTTATAATCATATCTAGAAGAGGCTTTGTTGTCTTGACCGATCAGTGTCATGTTGTGTTTACATAAGACATAAATAAAATTGTTTTAGCAGGTAAAATGCAAAGTCAATATAGGAAATTGATGAGACATGAATTACATGGATTAAGGGTGCAGTTGACACTCTACTTACATCATGATCTTATTTGGGAGAGTTGAAAAAACAACCAGTGGAACTACATTCAATAACACGCCTTTTTAAACTTGCAAAACATGAAGAAAAAGGAGCTTTTCTGGAGGAAAGTGAGTGACGGGGTCTGGTTGTGAGGGTGGATTGAGGGTGGATCCTCACACTGTTAACCTGAAACATGTTTGTTGAAAACAGACTGAAATGGAAAGAAACCCCTCTTGCATGAATATGGAGCACACAAAAAGAGCATGTTTTTCCCCAAAATTAAGTGAATAAACATAAACACAAATCATTTTAACTTTCAATGCTCAAGCTCAGTTAGTAAATCAAACAATAATGAATTTCTCAAATAAACAGCGCTATGGTGCATAGAGATAATTGCTCTGTAGTGCAGTTTCCATCTTATGAGCATATTTGTACAGGTTCAGTTGGTCACAAAATCTGTTCAATCCCTCAGAGAAGTGGCCCCTCACTTCTACTTAAATACGAACAATTATACTTCTCAGACAGAGAGAATCTGATATAAAGGCCTGTCATCAGGGGCGCCGCTAGGGATTTTGGGCCCCATGAAAAGAATTTAGACTGGCCCCCCAACACAGAAGATGCTGTTTTACATAAAACTATGCATTGTCATGTTACTATTTTCTGTCCACTCATTTAGTCCATCCTCCACATCTGAATTCCTTTCATCATCTTTGTCCTCACTCTCTGCCACCTGTGTTTCTGCACTCTCACTTACATCTGTACCCTCTTCCATCTCTTCCTCCACATTCCTCCCTGACAAACCAGAAGAGGGTCCTAGATCTGGCTCTGTAGACTGTGCGTGACAAAAATAAATATATTTTTTCCTATGATATAACTATTTGTAGTAGATTCTCACAAGCATTCCCCCACTGAACATGTAAACTTCTCTTATTGGATTGAGAGCAGTCACCCCAGTCAGCTGCACACACAACATATTTTTTCTTCTGTTGCTATTGCATTTATTCTATTTCAATGGTAGCTGAATTTTAACAAAATAAAAACAGTTATGAATTTTAAACTTTGTTCAGAATTATTTTTATTCCAATATTTTCCTTAATAACAGATTCATTGTTTGTGTGTATTGTTTTGAGACTGTGATAAAGAAAATCATTCTAATTAATCCAACACACACAGCTGCTCACCTCCTTCCTCATGTGGGGGCACTGGGGCTGGGTGAGGGGCTGGTGGAGTTGGGGACTGTTATACAGCTGCTTCTGGTGCACTTGACTGTTCAGAACGAGGCATTGTTTTGACTGAGGGGAGGTCAACTGATTGAATATAACCAGCGTGCTAAATGTTAGACTGCATTACTTATTTAACTAAAACAACAGCGAAACGCACTTATTAAGAGTTTTCTTAAGCTGACATCGGGAGAAAAGTGAGCTAGCTTACAAACCACAAACAAGAACAAAGTTAATATTACATAGCTTTCCACTACATGAACCACTCATGAACCCACCTTTCCTCCTGAAATACTGAGTGACATACTGTTGACCCTTTAAATAAAGTTATTGTAACCAGGATGCTATATATATTCAATTCATAAAGTAAAACAGGAGCATACTCTTAATATTAGCACCCTCCAGGTGCATCAACAAGACAACTTTACAAGAAACTAAAAGAAATCAGCACACTGAATGTCCTGTAATCCATTTAATCAGAGTACAGAGACTAACAGCCTAGCAACTTGTTTCAGCCTAGGACTTGTTTTAGTGGCAGCAAATAAAGGGCCCATACTAAACAGTATGTAAGGATTGCTAATATACATTACTTAAATATACTTAATTTAAATTGCATAAACAGACATGTTTATGTTAGTAATGTTGCACAGGGGTGACAGATGTATTTATGTCCGCAGCATTGCACGGGTTGCGTGCAGAAATGTATGTATGTACGATAACTATACATACATTCATTTTAAAAAGAGTAATTTTCTATCTGATAATGTTATTATTTTCAGCCTTTAGCTCTGTTGACATTGGAAATATAGCAGAAAAAGTTGACTCAAATGGTGTCTTCATCTGTTTATGGACACTCTTCAGCTAGACCCACAGGACTGGACCCGCAAGAATGTTGGACATGCTGTCTGAGTGAATTTGCATAAATCCTGCACAAATCATCCTGGACTTCAGGCCCGCGGAGCAGGTCCTGAATGCCTCAGCATTAGGGTTTCAGGCGGCTGAATTTAATAGGAGTAACTATATCATGATGGATTCCACACTCTAAATGTGAAGCTAGCTGCAAAAAGCTCACAGCATACCTTAACAGGAGGCAATGCTATTTAGTAACTCTAAGTGGGCTGCGCAACAGCCAAAGGCAGATGTGTCACGTCTGTGTGGGAAACCCTTATGGACTGGTATCATGCTCCGGTATTTGGCTGTCACAGGTCAGACTGCAGCTGGAATTAAACGCCAGGTCCCTATGCTGAAGGGAATTCACATCATTGGGAATTCTGCATATTCAGTGGTGCCCCAGTTTTTTAAGGGCCTTGGGGAATGATGGAAATTTTACTGAAGGCAAGCGAAGGCTAACAAGTCTCCAGTGTGTGATGCATCGATCTTTCTGTAGCAAAGTGTGGATGTTTAAAAATGACAAAAAAACCTAGTATATTTGGCTTTTTGCATCTCGTTCTCAGTAATGTTTAAGCAGTCAGCTTGAAACATTATTGAATGAAAATTGCAGAGAGAAACTCAAATTATGTTTGAACATAGAGGTGCTCTTATCAAGGGGAGGGGACCAGTTTTTGAATGCAGAGAAGAAAACAGAGGCAATGATAAGTTTATGAAATCTTTTCTGCTTTGAAAATAATTTGAATATATAATTTGAATTTAAACTGAAAATAAAGAGATGTTTTATCTATCTATCTATCTATCTATCTATCTATCTATAAATACATATATACACACACACATATATGTTTATCGACACACACACACACACACACACATAGATATATACACACACACATACACACACACACACACACATATATGCTTATAGACACACACACACACACACACACACACACACACACACACACATATATATATATATATATATATATATATATATATATGTGTGTGTGTGTGTACACACACAGGCAGGGGCATAACACCAAATTCTGGGCCCTGTACACTCTCAATGTCATACCCTATCCATACCAGTGCAGGAGGTGTGTGAGCAAAAAAGAAAAATAATATTTTAGATAAAAAGCATAAATAGGGCTTTAAGCTACAATCAGATCATATTGATGAGTAGTTTTAACAGCTAATTGATTCATTGGTTCTCACCACCTTCCCCCTTTCTATCTCTCTCTCTCTCTGTGATTGCGAAGTGAGTATGCAGAGATGAGAGCAGATTGTTTGCTGAGCGTAAGTGAGTTTCCTTTGTAAACTTTCTTTAATTTACTTTAGTGTTATATGTTTTGTTAAGTCTTTAATTTGTTGTGCTGGTAGTATAGTGGTGTGTGTGTGGGAGTAAGTGTGTGTGTGTGTGTGTGTGTGTGTGTGTGTGTGTGTGTGTGTGTGTGTGTGCAGGCTAAGTTAGCACCATGACGCTCGTGGAGGCAGAAGCCTCAGAGTTTGAGCAGTTGTCTCGCCGACATGGCATTAAGTTGGTACCAGAGGTGCCATGCAGTGTGAAGGAGGCTGGACTGGCTGTGGGGAAGTTGTCAGGTATGAATCTGTGAAAACTACCTCCAGGATGAACGGGGCTATTGTGATATTCCTGGATGCTACCGCTAAGGTGAGCAAGATGGTGGAGAGTGGTGTAGTTATCCAGGACACATTCACACCCGTTTTCCATCTAATGAGTCCAGCCACAAAAGTTTTCATTTCTCACGCATCTCTGTTTGCTAAAAATTAAATGCAGATAAAAGAACTGTCACGGTATGGGCAAATGGTCTCTCAAAATAAAATGGTCACCTAACTTGAAACATGTGTGTCATCGGAGGCAGGTTTATATGATTTTAAAAGATAAATCAAGAGATCTAAACCTGTCTTTCTCTTTTAGGGTGGATGGTTTCAATTATATGGTGTTTGCATGCTCCAAAAACATCAAGTTTTTTGGTTGTGGGGCGGAGGGACATTCAGTCCAGTCGTGCCCAGAGAGGTGCGGAGCTCAGCGGCCAGCAGCTGCCACTACTGCTGCCACTCCCCCTGCTGCTTCTGCCAGCAGCAGTTTTTTACCAACATCTTATGACGTAGAGGAGATTTTACCAGGTGTTTTAG